TTTATATATTTATATATTTATATATTTATATATTTATATATTTATATATTTATATTATATTTATATATTTATATATTTATATATTTAGATATTTAGATATTTAGATATTTAGATATTAGATATTTAGATATTTAGATATTTAGATATTTAGATATTTAGATATTTAGATATTTAGATATTTAGATATTTAGATATTTAGATATTTAGATATTTAGATATTTATAGTTTATTTTTTCTATGCAACTGTAGAAAATACTGTATTACTTTTTCAAGACTGCATGTAAGTTCGACTTTGGAACCTGCAGGATATAATGCCACATATGGTTCCAGCAAATAATCGCTAGCAGGCTTTATTTCGAACCACGTGCCTTCTGGAACTGTGCAAAAATTTAAAAATTTCAAACATGGTAACTGAAATATAAATAAATGTAGAAAAAAATCACAGTCTTTATAATTTTGTACATGACGTATCGGCGGGTGTCCAATAAAAACGTTTTGATATGGCCTAGTGTGACCTACTTAGGTCTTCTTTTTTTATTAAGTCTAATTTAATTAATATTTTAAATGGTCTTGAGCTATTTGTTGTTCAAACTAAATTTTCCATTACCCTCCTGTAATAGTATTCACCAATGAGTTCGTGTGGCTCGTGCGGCTCGTTACTTGGCTTCACCCCCCCCCCAAAGGTACTTGACACTGAGGTTAACATTCCATAATTTTAGAGTAGTATTAAAAGTCGGAATTTTCCTCACACAGGAGCCCATTAGACACCAACAGAGAGAGAGAGAGAGCCACGACGCGATGTTGTTTTTTTCTGTTTAAGCAGCTGTTTAGAGTTCCAGTGTATTCAGTATTTTTCTGTGTCTTATTTTAATAACGTGTAGGTTGTGGTTATAATTTAGGTAACTTATCCAGTGTTAGAAGTTTCAGTGTGTTATTCCTAAAAAATGTTGGGTTTTTCATCATTGTATATTTTTGTGCATAATATTTTATTATTTAGACTTGTTTGCATTTTAGAAGGTTTTAGATTGATTAAAAAGTTTACTAGTTGCAGAAGGTCTTCGTATTTGTTTTTACCCTAGACATTAGATTCGAGTCCACGAAGAGTTTTTATTTTCTGGTAATCTTTTTAGTTTCGTAATAATTCATCAATCTAGGGCCATCCCAAAAGAATCCGGGTATTGCGTAATCTTTACCAGTGGTAGAGGTACGTAACACTAGCCATATGATTAGCACGGATTAACACTATTTGTCTCATTTTATAATACCTTAACTTGTTAATAGTTTGCAAAAAAACTCATCTATAAATTATTAGACGATTTTTTCGACTCCTTAATAAGAACTAAATACTTTTCTGACATTTTGCCCGTATAACAGAATTAAACATAGTGTACAAACAAAACATTATTCATGCCAAGTCACATACGAATTAAAATAGCTTATCCTTGTAATTGAGTCTTGATGGCTATACGATTCATTATGACGAACTTATCTGAAATGTATTGAATATCTTTTATTTTAACCGTGGGGACTGTTAAATGTCATTTTCAGAGTGATCTCACCTGTCACTGTGAGATCCTGGTAACTTTCTGTATCCACCTCGTCATCACGTTTATTGAAGTACGTTGCAAAACATACGTACCTCCCAGCGTCAGTACATTTCGCCTGAGGGGCAACTATTTCAATTTTCATTGTGTTCCTGTTGACTGGTCGATTGGCCGTCCCTCGTAAGCTCCCAGAGAAATTAAAACTCCAGTTTACAAAAGAAGTGGGTGATGTGTCCTAAAAATTAAAGATTTTCTTTTTAAAAAACGCATTGAAACGTTTTCAACAAACCTTTTTTTTTAAAATCCACTCAAACGGTAAAAATAAATATTTTTTTAAATATAGTTTTTATAATTATTTAAATATAAATTTTAAAACAATATTTAAAGAAATTCATCTTCATTTTCTTCTTTTTAATGCATTTTTACATTAAAGCTTGTAATTAAAACGTTTATTTAAAGTAGTCTTACATTAATTTTTTTCATTTGATAGCGATGCTTGACTAAAAACGATTGCGCACCAAATAAACATGAATAAAGCACGTATAATAGTGCAGGATAGAAGCCTACTCATTTCCGACCATCCGTTCATCCAACCATCAATCCATTGATCCATTGATCCATCGATCAGTCTATCCATCTATCCATCGATCCATCGATCCATCGATCCAAGGATCAATCGAACCATCGAAACATCGACCCATCCATCCATCCATCCATCCATCCATCCATCCATCCATCCATCCATCCATCCATCCATCCATCCATCCATCCATCCATCCATCCATCCATCCATCCATCCATCCATCCATCCATCCATCCATCCACCCATCCATCCATCCATCCATCCATCCATACATCCATCCGTCCATCTGTCCATCCATCAACCCGTCCTTCCGTCCGTCCGTCCATCCGTCCCTCCGTCCGTCCGTCCATCCGTCCGTCCGTCCCTCCGTCCGTCCGTCCATCCGTCCGTCCGTCCGTCCGTCCGTCCGTCAATCCGTCCATCCATCTATCCATCCATCCATCCATCCATCCATCCATCCATCCATCCATCCATCCATCCATCCATCCATCCATCCATCCATCCATCCATCCATCCATCCATCCATCCATCCATCCATCCATCCATCCATCCATCCATCCATCCATCCATCCATCCATCCATCCATCCATCCATCCATCCATCCATCCATCCATCCATCCATCCATCCATCCATCCGTCCATCCGTCCATCCGTCCATCAGTCCATCCGTCCATCCGACCATCCGTCCGTCTATCCGTCCATCCGTCCGTCCGTCCGTCTGTCCGTCCATCCGTCCATCCGTCCATCCATCCATCCGTCTATCCATCCATCCATTCACCCAACTTTCAATCTGTCAATACATTAATGTTTAATCTACTAATTTTACTGTAACACATAGTATGTTATTTAATCAATTATTTATTTTTGCATGTTTTCCATAAGTTTCCTTTAGATGGTTAACTGTTTAGTGTGAAGGACTTATACCATTTCAAACAAGTGGGCTATCAAATGTCAAATATATTTACGCTATATGTAGCAATATTTCTTAACGTCGAAGATTGAAACTGTTATTAATTAAGGAATAAATGTTTTGTTAATCTCTGATATAAAAATAGATTTAAAAGAAAAAGCTTACATTGATTACTTTTGGGTCTATAATTGACCTATATCGTGTCAAATCCTCTGTTTTCCCCCCAACAACTCGTTTAATATACAGCAGCAGCACAGTTGTGAAATCAACCGGAACACCAGCACGTGAAGCATCACATGTCACAGTGAACGTTTGACTAGACTCGACCACACTTGGGCTGACAATTTTATCATTATAGGTTTGAGCACACCCTGAAAGTCAAATCACTACTCTATAACAATGAAAAAAAAAATCATTCGAAACTCGAATGTTAAATCTTAATCACTTAATCAAACAAAATAATTTAAAACTTGTAAGATTAATAATAAAAACATTTAGTACGACATCTTAGTTATTATTAAATTATTTATTTGTCTATAACATAAAAAGAACATGTATACTGACACAAAAAATGTGTTAAAAGCCTCTAACCTGTTGACCACCAAAGCAGTAAAATATCTAATCTCAGAAGAATATCGTTGTTCATTTTAATGCTATTTCCATGTGCTCATTCGACAGAAATTTTACATCAGTAGTTAATATGACAACCAAATGACTCTATTAAACATGAACTAAATTACTATACGACTGAAAGCACGGGTGTACTGGGACAGAGGTGAAGATAATGTGGGGAGCAAGGGGAATAGACTTACTAAACTTACTTGACTTAATCTTTTTAATCCCATGAAGATAATCTTTCCACCGAACTGGGTTTCGGGCAGGTCTTTTTAGTTTAACCCACGTAAGCCCTACAGCCTTTGCTTCTCCTTCCATTGTCCTTCACGATTGCTTAGATCGGCCTACTTTTCTTGTCCCCAAAGAATTCCAGTCCAACGCTTGCTTCGCGATGATGACTGCATCTCTTCTAAAGGGGTGCTCATTATATCCCTATGTACAAGCGAGCCGGGACATTGGTGTACCCAATATTAATGTACCCGCGACTTGCGGAATAATGTATTCTAGTATAAATTACATTACAAGTTTTATAATTCAGATTTTAATAATTAGTAGAAAATCATCGTTGCAGTAATTAAACCTTTGAGATTCTGGCTACGTCATTAGGATCCTGACGTTTGCAACATGTTATTTCAAGTAATGACTTGATGTGATTTTTTGTAAAATATCAATGTGTATTATGTTTAGTGAGCTACCATCGACTTGTTTGAGCAAAACAAATGCTCCACATGTTTTATTTAACTAACCCTAAACCTAACATCGTTGTTGCTACGCCAATGTTCAGAACAACAGTTTTACAGGTGCCACGTCACCACGTTTGATCAATAAGAAACAAATCTCTATCTCGGCTGTCTAACATCAGTTAACATACATGTGGGTGGATTACAAGATAATAAACAAACGATCGGATTAACCGACTGAATTTAAGCCCTCAAATCCAACTTATTGAGATAACGATGCAGGTGGTGGTGTTTTCGGTGTATAAGGATTAAACAATATTACATGATGAATGTAGTCTGCCTTATAACAGCTTAACTTAAATTCTGATGCATTAGAATTACTAGTCATGAAATACGAGTACACGGCTATTGTACAGCGCGATAAGAACACCTACAACAAAAAGATAAACAAGCAACAAAACGTATTAGATTTATAAATATTGTTGAAATATTTTGCAAAATATATATGCTTAAGCTTTATGTTCATTATTTCGTAAAAAGACACATTAAATATTGATAGCACATATATTTCCAATATTAGAATACATTAACCCCCAAAAAAATAAGATTATATGACGCTTTGACGTCACATGAAATCTAGAGTAAAATATCAAATAAGGTAAATTAAAAAGTGGGGTGCCAGAAAAGTACACAAAAAATGAAGTAATTGATGTTAGAAAAACACAAATACTGCATATAAATAAGTATGAAAAAAAAATGGGACGCCAGAAATTTACAACACAAATAATGTGTCTAACATTACAAGTGTGTAAACAAATAAATGGTATTATGACAAACATAATAACACAAAAGTAAAACACAAATAGAGGTTAATTATAATTGTTGTAGTATTTTAGTGAAAATAAGAAAAAACGGAATTGGAGTATTTTACAAGTTATATATATTGGAGGCCAAAAATAAAAATTGGAAGTAATCTAAATATGAGATATTTTATGTGCATGAAACTTTTCGTCGTCCAAACTGAAATCGTACTCGAGTTATCGTATTACCATAGAAATAAAGTACTACTTCCAGTAAACGGATATCGTTTAAAAGTTGACAGAAATCTGCACACATTATCTAAAAATTAAATGTGAAATGTCGCCTACCTAACAGTAAAAGTGCTTAAGTTTTTTGCTTTTTAGAAACCTGAACTATAGTAAGTATCACTTCTAGTTTTCTTGGTTTAAAAGTTTGAAAGAAAAGTGCAAACTCACAGGAAATTTCGTGTAACTAAACGGTTGTCAAGCTATCGTCTTTCACTTTGACAGACACGTTAACAACATTGTAAAACAAAACAAAATGTTTAAACCGATTCATGAAGATATAAAACGTGAAGAGTTGTCAAAACCTCAGTGTTTTTGTTTTTTTTTGCAACGATTACAATATTTTTCTAAATTAAAGAAAAAAAGGTTAACGCCTTTTTCCGGAAAATAATTGTAAATTTTGTTTTTACTTTAATTGTCTTTATTTTACGATAAAAACGGTATTAATGAGAGAACATGTAAATTAGTTTTTGAAATAGAGAACCATCGATTTAACGAATTATTTATATTGAATGCAGTATATGGAAAAATGACAATACAAAGCGTAATTTTAAATAACACATGCTGCAGAAAATAATACATACTATATTAGTAATATTCAAATTATCATGGCATATATAATTTAGACAATAGAAATTTGGTTCATGAACATTGTTTTAAAAGTGTGATTTTATCATACATATTCTTCTACATTAATGACGAGCTGTATAGCTTCGTTTTTTTCATATCTTGTTCCTTTAACTGTACACTTATATCTACGTATTGGGACGGCGTGGTCAAAGGGGGAGAGTGCTAGGTTGCTAGCCCGAAAGTCTCAAGTTCTAATCCGGGTTCAAGCCAGTAGAACGCCCCTGAGTCCACCTATCTCTGATGAGTACTAACAAAATGCTGACCACACCGTCCCTTCAATGCCGAGGTCAAGAAACATTCATTTTATTTTATTTTTCCAATGGATCGTTAGATCTAAAGCAGGGGTCTCCAAACTACGGCCCGGATGCGACCCGCGAGGTATCCAGCCCTCGGAGATCATTTCGTCCACGGAAAAAACAATGTTTATTGGAGGTGGCTGAGGAAAACTTCTAAACAAATTGAAAATGTAGCATTGGGTGCAATTACCATTGAAGCAAATGTGGCCAGTTGCCCAGCCAATGACCTTCTTAAAGAAAAGTTCAAATAAGGGCGGATGGGTTCTATAAGTATTTTCCCATAGAAGACTTTCCTAATATTACAACTTTTGCATCAAAGTAACTTTCAAAGCTCGGAACAACATACAAACATTTTCAAAAATGAAGCAGGCCTACGTGAAGAACAATTTGAGAACAAACTTAGACCTTGAGTGCGTTGTCAGCAGTGTATCTTCCAGACTTTTTTCTCCGGGGGTAACTTGAAATTTTTTTTTTGGGGGGGGGGGGGGGGGCGGTAAACTTTCTTCGGGGCGGGGCGGACACTGTTAAAATTATATATTTACTATATAAGTTATATAAATTTCATTTCTTTCGGGGGGGGGGGGGGCGGTAAAAAATTTTCGGGGGGGGGGGGGCTAAGCCCCCCCCCCCGAAGAGATGCCTGGAAGAAACTCTGGTTGTCAGTATATTGAATTTCGTTTAGTGGGAGGGGGAGGGGGGGGGGAGTCTCCGTCACCCCGAAAAGATACCTGGAATAAACTCTCCCCCCCCCCCCCACCACCCCTCTGATATTTGATAGTCAATACGGCCCTCGGGCTGAAAAGTTTGGAGACCCCTTGATCTAGAGGATTCTTTACTTAACTATATGTACTTAAGTATGTAAATATACAAAGTATGTAAAAAAACAAACAAATTGATTATGATACAAAAATAAAAAATGTGATGTTACAAAACTGATTTTTGTAGCTCTAAAATTTTATTAAAATACTATAAGAATTTTTCTCGAGATATTCTGTCCTCGACATGGTTATTTTGTGATATGTTGTCTAAGATAATTTATCCTGACATGATTATTCGTGGATCAATATAACTATTAAAGAGATTATCGTTATTTTTTAACTCCTGTATAAAACTAACATAATTGTGTAAGACACTGTTTCAATGTCATAGGAGAGAATCTTTTTCTAAACTCATGTATAAAACTCGTTGAAATAATCTCTTATGACATTTTTTAATAGTTATATAATCATGCAATACATCTAACAGTAAACAAAACAATAGTTTTCGTTTACTGGTAATTAAATAACGCTTTCAAAATTAGGAGTCGAATATTTGTTTACATCTGGTGAATAAACATTTTCAGGAGTGTCGTAGAGCTTCGTGTAGTCGTTCAAGTCATCGGCTGGTGTAGAATCGTTTTGTCTGTCCTTGTCTAGATCCTTGTCTGTCTTAGTATCTGGTTGTACATTAGTCTGAATATCAAGTTGTTTACGTGTCTTAATGGCCATTAATGTGTCTGCTTTAATGTCAAGTTGACCATCCCTCTTAGTGTCAAGTTGACCATCCCTTTTAGTGTCAACTTGAACATCCTCGTTAGTATCACGTCCAGAAAGAGTGTCCATATCACCCTCTTGGTACAGCTCAAGGCCATTTGTATTCTCTGATTGCTCGTCACTTTCCTTGATAAACTCTAATTCATTGATAGAACTGTAGTAGTTAGCTGAACTTTCGTATATTGCTACATCTGAAATCTGGGCGTACCCCCCATTGGGGTCGACAGGTAACAGATACCCGCTACTGTCCATTGGTGGAGACACAGAAACTGCTCTGATTGCTGGAAGGGTCCTGAGATCAAATCTTCTCTTTCTTGCTCTATCACGGCGTACTGTCAAATTTAGTAATACGATGCATTGTTAATAAGTAAATAAAAGTGCACAAATCGATTCAATTTGTAATTAATTGTGTTTATACGAGAGTGAGTGTGAGCTTGTTAATGTGTTTACCTGTGTGAGTGAATGTTTATGTGTGTGTGTTCATGTGTCAGCCAAAGATACCAACCTTTCACAAAGCAAACCGTTGCAATAACAACACCCACAACAACAACAACTGCTGCGACTGGGATGACGTAGTACAGAAAGCTGTAGTCGCTAGTTTCTGTTGTGGCTTTAACAGGTAAAAAACAGGTGACGTTAAACTATACCGTAAAGATTTCATTCTAGACCCACCGATTCATTGAGCAGACGAAATAGAGTTTATATTTTTCAAATATATACTAAGTGCTGTAAAGTACACGTACTTTATATTTGAACTGTTCTTTAGGTAAATGAGATCATAGCGTTTTTGGCCTATAATTACTTTATCTCTATCTTTTAGAAAGACTGAACATTAATGGGTTTCTTTTTTTTTTCAGGCTTAGCAGTAATTAGCATTGAGTTTATTAATAAGACTGCTTCCACACTTTCTTAGTATCTATGAAAAGAGATGATTTTTTTTAGAAATTTCGCCGTAAAATTATTAACTAAATTTGTATTTAACAGATTAAACATGTTTTCTGCTTTCAATGCGATATTGTTTTTTACCTAACCTATAACAACAACATAAATATCATTTGAGAAAATGATAATAGACTTATTTACTAAACTCTTACACCAAATAACGGTGTGTAGCTATTACTAGAAATAAAAGCTGTTATTTACGGGTACTTTGTAATTAAAACACACACACACACACGCACACACTTACTTTCGTTTTTTACACGTTGGGATTTGTAAGCAGTTGTTTCATGATCATTTTCATCCAAATAACTTGCGTTGCAAAAATATATTCCTTCGTCTGCTTTGTTAGCATCATAAACTGTAATCAGTATTTTCATTGTGTCTCTGTTATTTGGTTTATCGCTTGTATTTTGTTGGTTTCCACTGAATATGAAAGTCCAGTTCCTTGGGGGAGACGTCAGTGGGGGGTACTGGAGACATTTATTTTCACAACATTAATGCATGTTCTAAAAGTACTAATCGAAACGGCCAGTAAATAAACGATCCATACAAGCCTACAAAGTCAAACCAACAGATTTAACAAGCCAAAATACTTAATTAAATAAGAAATACCGATTTTTACTCGAATTTTCATGTTTTTAAAACTGCTTTTAATTATGAGCATTTCGGTACAGGCCAAATTATTTTTCTCAATAATAATGTTTTGTGCTAACAAATTTTATACATTTTTAATTATTTTGAAAGAGACCAAACAGTTATTTAAATATTAGTGTATTAGTATATACTTAAAGTGAATCATTTATTCTCTCCTTTTTAGTGCGTTATTACCTAAAAGCTTCTTTTTAAAATGTTTTTACTTCTCGTATACTATATATAAAAGGAAGTATTGTAATCGTGTAAAAAAAAATCCCAGAGTAGGAAAAACATGTTTTGCAATCTTGTCCGTATGTCTGTGTGTGTTTGTGTGTGTGTGCATGTGTGTATGTATGTCTGTGAATACGGTAACTTGAGTATCGTTACAGCTAGGTTGATGAAAGTTCATATCTAAGCATTAAATCAAATTTGTAGTTCTGTACCAACTTTTCAGCTATTTCCGGTAATCTCAATTGGAATTTTTTCTATTTTCAATTTTTCAAAAGCCTATAACTTAAGTACTGTTTCAGATAGATTAATGAAATTTTACAGGTAAGTAAAAGATCTAATTATATGCCTTCTGTCCAATTTGGATTTTTTCCGTTGACTGGAAGTAGTAATTTACGCTATTTACGATTTCTCTAACAAACTCATGCGAATTTATAAAGTACTAATAATATTCCGCACTATAATACACATATTGTTTGGCGTTTACTTGGTGCGCTATTCTTTTTCTACAAGATTCTTTTCTATTTTAAAAAGTTTAAGTAATTAAAATAGTATTTAAAATCATGTCTATATCCCGAGGAGTCAACCCCCGTAGTGTTATATAAGAATATTCGAGAAAGCTTAGGGGAGATCACTACCGGTTTTTTATGCACTGTTTTAAAAACACACGTTTTGTATCAAATTTTGTATCTAATTTAAACTTTTGAATCTATTTATTTAAACGTGACGTTTAATTGATTAAATAAAACGTATATTTAGAAAAATGTGTATGGTAGGAAAAAAAATCTATATACTTTAAGCCAGCTGCATATATGTGAAATCAAATACAAATTAATAATCTTTTTCTACTATAATTGAAAAAGTCTACGTAAACGTATTTAGAGCATGGAATATTTTAAATAGTTTAAAACTTCACATAAAAAAAAAAAAAAAAAAAAAAAAAAAAAAACCTAGATTTTCTCACCAAGGTATTATATGGTTTAATAAATGTCCTGTATTCGGCGTAGATTATTGGTGGTGTTGTCCCGTTTGTCCAACCAATAAACAAATTAGAAACTGTGGAAATATTTGGTGGAACACCAGCGCGTGACGCATCACATGTCACAGTAAAAGTTCCTCCCTCCACGATAACACTGGTGCTGACGATATCCTTACTGTAGACGTTCACAGCGGGTGTGGTGCTTTCTGGAGCTTAAGTCATTGAAAATATGGTCAATAAAACGTTACACTAGAATTAGTTATTCGCTAAAATTAAAGCGCACATTAAAAAAAAAAACTTGTTTACAGTGTATAAAAAAAGTACTAATTGTTTTTAAAATCAACTGTATTTTACTAATTTTTACTTTCTCGTATATACGTAGTATAGAGAAAGTATTGTAATCGTGCAAAAAAAAAAATCGAGATTTTTACAAATCTCGACGTTTTACACCTCACTGATACGGAAAAACATAATTTTGCAATCTTGTCCGTATGTCTGTGTGTGTGTGTGTCTGTCCGTGTGTGTGTCTGTCCGTGTGTAAACACGATAACTTGAGTACCGTTACAGCTAGGTTGATGAAATTTCATATATAAGTATTTTATCAAAATCGTAGATCCGTATCAACTTTTGAGCGATTTCCGATAACCGGAAGTGGTACTTTTCCTACTTTGAATTTTTTAAAAGCCTATAACTTGAGTACTATTTCAGATAGATAAATGAAATTTCACATGTAAGTAAAAGATCTAATTCTCTACCTTCTGTTAAATTTTGAGTAATTTCCGTTGACTGGAAGTAGTAATTTACGCTACTTCCGATTTCTCAAAAAACTAATGTAAATTTTAAAAGTACTAATAATATTGCGCACTATTATGCGCTTTTTTTTATTTGCGTTCACTTGGTGTGCAATTAATTTGTCTACGAGATTTTATTCTATTTTTAAAACTTTAAGTATTTAAAATGGATTAAAAATCATGTCTATAGCCCGAGTTCCCATCCCCTGTTATTTTATATAAAAATATTCGAGAAAGTTTAGGGGAGATCACTACCGGTTTATTTTTCTAGTTCCACCACTGATTATGCACATTTTATTAGGCGTTCACTTGGTGTGCAATTATTTTTTTTACGGGATTCTATTCTATTATAAAAAGTTTATGTAATTAAAAATGGATTACAAATATTGTCTATGTCCTGAGTTGCCATCCCTCGTAGTTTTATATTAGAATATTCGAGAAAGTTTAGGGGAGATCACTCCCGGTTTATTTTGAAAAAGCTATCGCTGAAAGAATACATAGTTTTCTACGTAATGTATAACAACTGTTTTTTTTTCTGCACAATGTATAGAACATGAATTGTTTTGACTGATTTATTATTAAAAAGTACTTTATATTCTTTGATCTGCAATCTAAGAGAAAGTGTAACACTTTTTGTGACGCCCAAGTGAGAGCACACTGTGAACAAACACACATAACAAAAAATTAATTATTAGTAGAAAATATGCGACAAACATTATTTAGTAAGTATTAGTTTCTTGATGTGTCAACCATTATTAAGTAGTAAGTTTTTGGTCTATACATCCAATCATAATATGTAAAACAAATGTAAACGTTTAAATTATTTAAGGCTTATTTTATACTAACACGGGAAATTGTTTTATTTAATTTACAAAATTAAAGTAAAATAAATATTATAAATTTTCATTTCGACCGATTCTTACACAGTCTGTAATCTGTTGACTGTGGAGCACATAACTTTAATTTTAGTGTGCAGATTTAAGTAAAAAACGAACTAGACATAACTAGTGACTGCCAGCATTTTGAGTACATTTCAATAACAGAGATTGTGATTTACTTGATGTAACTTGTATCGTCATATTGCCAACATATATGACCTCACTGTTAGATGTTGCCTCGCACATATACATGTAGCCACTAAACTTCTGTTCTGTTGTAAAATTCAGTGTTGAGGAATGAAGGTACTGGACACAGGCTGTCCCCGAACTGATTTGCACTGGTTCAAAATCTGTTGTGTCGCTTGTTGCAAGATATAGTGAGATACTGTAAACATTATTACTCGAATTGCCAAACTTCCAATTAATGGACAACTCTTTTCTACCCTGTAATCGAATAATAAAATCCGATGTAAAAAATGTGTATGAATCGAATTACAGAAGAATTTGTTTTTTATAAAACGACTCTATATAGAAATTCATTCTATAATGTCACTCACCGTCACATTACATGTCAATACAACATTAGACCCTGCAGGATTGACTGACTCAAAAGGTCCGAGGCCTTCGTTATACTGGGGAACTAAAGTCAGGGACACAGGAACTGCACGGGCTGTTCGTGAAGAAATCAAGTATTTTAAATGCCGCTGTGTATTCTTTTCCGGAGTTATTCAGTTCTAATAAGGGGAATATTATGAACAATAGCCCAAAGTATAATTATCAATTAACTAAATTATTATTCTTGCATATCAGATCTTTGCATTTTTTATAATTAAGTACAGCTTTTGTGTTCTTTTAAGATTACTTTTTGAGGCAGTTTTACTCTTATCCACAGTGTTTTTATATTTTTCAAACTAAATTTGCCCGAGCTATTTAAGTATATGTTCGTTCGGTAGGCTACATCTGTAGGTGCTGCATAAAACACAAAACACAAAATACGATTATAGTATATTTCTTTTAGCAACTTCAACAGAGCACAAATGTAGTATTGGACAAGTATCATTTGTGCATTAGAAATGTTTGTGATTTATTTCGTCAACTGGACATACTACAAAATAACATGGACACGAAGCCATACAATTCATTAGAAACAAACGTTTCGCAATGTTTACGAAATATTAAAGCTCCTTGGTGAAGATCATGATACAGATAATTTAAGAAATATTAAATTTATAATTATCAAATAAATATAACTTAAATCGAATTAGTTATTTAAAATAAGACTAAGGTAATATATTATTTAAATACCATGAGTCACCTCTCAATACTATTCTAGATCTAGAATCTAGTAGTAAATAGTAGCCTAACTAATACTAATAACTATTATCTAATGACTCTTATACTCTAATAATAATAATAATAACTAGAAATCTATTATTAGTAGATCTAGAGTAGAATCTAGTTACTATAATCTACTCTAGATCTACTAATAATCTATCTATATCTATCTATCTATATACTACTAAAAGTCAAGTTTGTTTACATGTTTGAATATTTATTTTTTTGTTTGTTTGTTTGCCTGATTGACTATTGCTCATGGTTGCACTCATCGTGGAAAGCTGTAAAATAGTATGTAGGTAGAGAAAAATTTTTGTTTTAAGACAGACTGTTAATCACAAATTTATTTAAAGACTTTAATTAATTTATTGATTTATTCATACGTAGAGTAACCCATTTTTTTTAAAATGTTAAAACATCGACTAAACTTTGTGGGAATAGTGACGTCACAGTTTTTTGTTTACTCTTTAGTACAATAAAATGGCGGCGTCTATCGAAGAAAATTGTGTTCCCATTCAAAAGTTTAACGCGTTCTAAATCTAATTTTCTGTCGGTCATAACTTTAACAATACGTCCGTTTGCTGTATTTATTACGTTCCAACACTTATTTTAATTTTCAACTGTCTTTTTTCATTTAGTTTTACAATAAATTTCTCTAGATCTAAAGATCAGCTGTCGAAGGAAAGTTATGAATCTAGCCTAGATTCTAGAGTCTAGATCTAGCCTAGATCTAGGTCACTCTATACTCAATGTAAATTCTAGATCTAGACTTAATGTAAATTCTACATCTAGAATCTATTTCAGGCCTTAATACATCTAGAATCTATTTCAGGCCTTAATTATTTTATATAAATCTTTGTTTGGCTAATTTAAGATAAAATTTAATTTGAAAGTTACTAGATTCTACTACTAGACTTAGATCTAGATCTATGCGCGGAGACTCAAAAGTATAGTATAAAAATTCATTTGTGACGTCACGAGTAAATAGCTAAGTTTGTAGCGTAGTCCGCTCTCATGCGGGTGGTACAGGTTCTAGACCAATATGTGAATGATAATTTTTTATTTAATTTTTTTTTTTTTTTTTAGATGTGAATGATAAAGTTGCCTATCTGAACTTGGCAGGATACAGGGCAGGTGAAGTAGAGGGGGACATATGTTGGGGCGCCAAAATGGTTTGGAAAAATAAATTGAAAGGTTGAGTGGGGTTCAAATCGAAAGTTTGAGTGGGGGTGGGGGGTGCACATCAAAAGTTTGAAGGGGGGGGGGTTGAAAATCGAAATCTTGGGGGGGGGGGAGGGGTTAAAATCGAACAGTTTGTCCCCGGGCGCCGGGAAGGCTCGCTATGCCTCTGAGTGACAGACGTGATGTTTTTTGATGGATGACCCCCGAAACCCACAGTTATCCAACGGATGACGGGTATTCTAGTATACTACTAAAACTCAAGTTTGTTTACATGTTTGAATATTTTTTTTGTTTGTTTGTCTGATTTCTTACTGTAAGGAAACTGCTTTATATGGGGGGCTGTAAAATAGTATGTAAGTACAGAATAATTTTTGATTGCAGACAGACTGTTAATCACACATTTATTTAAAGACGTTAATTAATTTATTGATTTATTCATAGGTAGATTAACCACATTTTTTAAAAAAGATTTGAAAAACGACTAGACTCGACGAAAGCGTGACGTCACAGTTTTTTGATTACTTTTTAGTATAATAAAATGGCGGCGTCTATAGAAGAAGATAGTGTTCCCATTCCAAAGTTTAACACGTTCTAAAGCTAATTTTCTGTCGGCTATAACTTTAACAATACGCCCGTTTGCTGTATCTATTACGTTCCAACACTTAAAATCAATTTTCAACTGTCTTTTTCATTTAGTTTTACGATAAATTTCTCTAGATCTACAATCTGTCCAAGAAAGTTATTTATAGATATAGAAATAGAATCTAGATCTAGATCTAGGTCAAATCAAAGATGTATTAGTTATAAATACAATCCATATAAAAACGAGACTTAAGCAAACCAGTCGTAGATCTAGAATATAGATAATTCTATCTAGATTTAGTTAATAATGAGTTTCTATATACTAAACTATTTTAGACCTTTATTATTTTGTATAAATCTTTGTGTCGACTATGCTAATTTTGAAATGCTTGATCCAGGGCCTATTTGCGTAGCTTAAGATTCATAATTTTGCTAAATTATAAACGTAAATTCTAAATATGGCTCAGTCGTAGATCTAAAATATAGATAATTCTATCTAGATTTGGATAATAATGATTTTCTATATACTAAACTATTTTAGACCTTTATTATTTTATATAAATCTTTGTTTGGAATATGCTAATTTTGAAATGCTCGATCCCGGGCCTATTAGCGTAGCTAATGATTAGATCTAGATCTAGCAAGTGTTACGCAATAACTAAAGTTAAGACTTAAGCAAACGAGTCGTAGAATCTAGATTTAGATAATTTCAAACCTTCATTATTTTATATAAATCTTTGTTTGGCTAATTAAAGATAAAATTTAATTCGAAAGTTACTACTACTAGACCCAGACTTAGATCTAGATCAATGCGCGTAAATCAAGTTGCATAAGGAGACTCAAAGTATTAAACTATAGTATAAAAAAACCTTTGACATCACGAGTTAATAGCTAAGTTGTTAGTGTACTCGGCTTGCATGCGGGTGTCACAGGTTCTAGACCAATACGTCAATGATAATTGTTTTTTTTCAATTTTTATTTTATTTTTTAGATGTGAATGATAAAGTTGCCTATCTGAACTTGGCGGGATACAGGGCAGGTGAAGTAGAGTTAATCTGTTTATTTCTCCTAAGCATATGAAGAGATAGTGTGGTCATAGACATGCTCGGCTGGAATCGTTTTTTTTTAAACGATAAAAACATGTTGTCTGAGACTTGGCGGGACACTGGGCAGGTGAAGTAGAGTTGAGTAGGTCACCTGTGACGTCAGTATATGAACGGTTGGTCCGAAATCGGTGTTTTCGGTGTTTTTAAAAGATAAAAAACGTATTTTTGAATGTGGGGTCTGTTTTTTGTGACGATAAGAGATAGTGCAGTAGCGTAGCGAGTGGGGGGGGGGGGGGGGTGCCATATGTCCCCGGGTGCCGACCTTAGGGGGCGCCAAAATGGGTTGGAAAAATAAATTGAATGGTTGAGGGGGGTGCAAATTGAAAGTTTGAGGGGGCGGGGGGTGCAATTCGAAATCTTAAGAAGGGGGGGGGGGTGTACATCAAAAGTTTGAGGGGGGGGGTGCAAATCGAAATCTTGCGGGGGGGGGGGGTTCAAATCGAAAAGTTTGTCTCCGGGCACCGGGAAGGGTCGCTACGCCTCTGAGTGGCAGACGTGATTTTTTTTATGGATGACCCCCGAAACCCACAGTTATCCAACGGATGACGGGTAGTCTAGTAGTAACTAATGCAACTACAAAGGAAATGCCTTTCTTCTGAACCATTTTTTTAAATTTTATTCCAACTATTTACATGGTGATTAATTGTAATTTTAAATCAATACCAATACTCTAAATTATATATTTTAGTAGATTTCTGTTTTGTATAATGATTCTTTTATTGACTACCTAATTATAAGTACTGATATAATTATTGAATTGTTTAGCTAGCGGTGATCAACTCATCAAAACGACAAGATCTAACCAAGTCGAATCAAAAAACTCTGATCAACTAACTGAAACAGTTGGCCCTGATCAACTAACTGAAACAGTTGGCCCTGATCAACTAACTGAAACAGTTGGCCCTGATCAACTCACTGAAACAGTTGGCCCTGATCAACACATTGAAACAGTTGGCCCTGATCAACACATTGAAACAGTTGGCCCTGATCAACACATTGAAACAGTTGGCCCTAATCAACTCACTGAAACAGTTGGCCCTGATAAACACATTGAAACAGTTGGCCTTGATCAACTCACTGAAACAGTTGGCCTTGATCAACTCACTGAAACAGTTGGCCCTGATAAACACATTGAAACAGTTGGCCTTGATCAACTCACTGAAACAGTTGGCCTTGATCAACTAACTGAAACAGTTGGCCCTGATCAACTCACTGAAACAGTTGGCCCTAATCAACTCACTGAAACAGTTGGCCCTGATAAACACATTGAAACAGTTGGCCTTGATCAACTCACTGAAACAGTTGGCCTTGATCAACTCACTGAAACAGTTGGCCCTGATAAACACATTGAAACAGTTGGCCTTGATCAACTCACTGAAACAGTTGGCCTTGATCAACTAACTGAAACAGTTGGCCCTGATAAACACATTGAAACAGTTGGCCCTAATCAACTCACTGAAACAGTTGGCCCTGATAAACACATTGAAACAGTTGGCCTTGATCAACTCACTGAAACAGTTGGCCTTGATCAACTCACTGAAACAGTTGGCCCTGATAAACACATTGAAACAGTTGGCCCTGATCACCTCACTGAAACAGTTGGCCCTGATCAACACATTGAAGCAGTAGGCCCTGATCACCACACTGAAACAGCTGGGTCTCATCAGTTGGTCTAACTTTACTTTGAAACAACTAATTCATATGAATTAGTTCATTCAGCTATCGCTAATGAATTAACAGCTGGCTCTTATTATGTCGATGTTGACCCTGATCGATGCACTACTGAAACAGATTGCTCTAATCAGATCGTCCATGTGTACTCTGAAAAGACAACCTCCTGTAAATCTGGTGATTCAGTAATCACACATGAATTAACAGCAGGCTCAAATGCTGTAGATGCTGTAAACTGTGATCCAAATTTGATTAAAAAACTAGACACAGTAATCACAAATACATCCATGCAGAGGCAATAGTAATTAAACAGATTGAAACGGCTGCTGGCCTCAATCAGTCCAACCTGCGCGATGAGGACGGGAATGTTTCAGATACTAAGAACACAAAAATTGGGAGAAAAAGAAAAGAGAACCTGAAAACTGTTGTACATTACTAGAAATGGCTAGACAGTGCCTGTTAAATATCCCAAAACAGTTGATTGCAGCAAATGTAGATTCCATTGCAACTCTGAAATATCTGACGAAGATCGACACAACATTTGCAAAGAATATTATATTCTTCCAAGTTATAATATGAAAAAGCAATTTTTGTGCAACCTTGTTCTTGAAGATCATATCAAAAGGCAAACAAATTCGTGCATATTTCTTAAACTCGAATGATGGTAGAAAAAGAAGAGTTTGTCTGGAATTTTTCTTCAAAACGTTTTCATTTTAATTTAGATGTGTTGACTCATCATTGGCAGGAAAAGGGGTTCTGGAGCCTTTGGGTGAGCTGATAAAAGAAAAGGAGGATCAGCACCAAATAAACTATCCTAATATATAAAAGCCAATTTGCGCAATTCTCTCTCTCTCTCTCTCTCTCTCTTTCTCTCTGTCCGCAAAATATTTTCACAGGCTATCACATCAGTATCTAGAGCGATATATGGAGAACTTGATACGGGCTTATTGATAAGCAACGTGATTGCGATGACAAAGCTTACATTGCTCTTACTTTTGATCTGCAAGCTGCATTGGTGACACCACACGCTGGCGATCCTCAGATATGCTACACAAGAAAACTGGCTATGTACAATTTTACCCTGTTTGATGCGGAATCGAGGTGCCAATGAAATAGGATCTGCTCTGTTAGACTATTTAAACAACCTCCCTTCTACTGTAAAACATGTTGCTACATTTTCAGACACATGTAGTGATCACATCCTGATGCCTCAGAAGAGACTGATGATTTGTAAAATTCTCAGTTAATATTAAATAAAGTGTTATTCTGTTACATTTAATTATTCTTGTTTTATTAAGTTATTTGATATTTGGTACAAGCTGTATAAATTTAATTTCATAAATTTCTCTAATCCTCTGTTAACATAACACAAATGTTGCATGTCCATTTCTGTCTACTTTGCAACAAATTATACTCTTTTAAAGGATAACAGTGATCATTTATACAATTAAATATCATACACTAGACATATTATAGTTTGCATTTATATAAGAAACGTGTTCACATAATACTGTGCACTATTTTACAATCGAGGTAGAACATTGAAATTTTAGTTTTCTCCTATTTCGTGTTTTTCGGATACGTTTGTCTTCTATACCCTCGATTTATTCAGCTTACTCCCACCCCTATATTTGCATAGAGTTTTTAACACAACCCATCTAAAAATGGGAGCAACTGTACAAGATGCCTTTGGATAATGTTCTATATCAGCTAACATGCAGGGGACCTGAAGTTTCCCTTCCTATTTTTGACAAATCAAAGATAAGCAAAAGTGTAATTTACGTGGCACACTTTAGGTAAACATTTACCATACGTTTTTAGACTGATCTTAAAATCCAAAAATTATAGGCCGTCCGTATATAAGATAGATGAATGAATTGAGCCTGACAACTCAAGCAAATACTACAAATGTGAATTATGATCGATTTGTGGTGGTTGACGGTCTATATCAGGGGTCTCCAAACTTTTCAGTCCGAGGGCCGCATTAACTAACAAATTTCAGTTCGGGGGCCAGTTTCTTCCAGGCATGTCGTGATTTTTCTGGGCTAATTTCCTCAGGCAGCACCCACAAACGTTTTTTCCGTGGACAAAAAGATCTCCGCGGGCCGTAGTTTGGAGACCCCTGGTCTATATCCAGCAGGAATAAGACAAACAGCAGATGCGCCGATAAGTAAGCAAAGAAGTTGGCTATAGATCTAATTGCGATGAGTTAATAAAAGTGTGATATTTCGGGTACATAAAAATGTAAGCCTACTATGATTTAGTTACAATTGTTTGATATGTTTAAAGACAAACTTAAAATATCATAAATTGTTTTAGAAAATTGCTGCGATCGCAGCCCCCTTCCCTCCCGCTTGTAAAAAGAAATGTAGGTCGTATACAACTATATTTCGAATACAGTTAACACGAGAACTGCCGATTTAATGTATAATCTATATTTTATGTTCAGTTTTTAAATGTATTTTTTAAAATATAAAAAAATAAGTATTTTGTGCTTTAATTCCGCTTGTAGACGTCCACATTGACCTGACCGCCCTTCCTCCAGTCCATAAGCGTCTTGTTGTTTTTATCGGACGCTCTCACCCCCCCCCCCCCCCATGTGGACTGCATAAATGGATGACCCCTTAATGACGTAGATTCTTGTTACGTATTTAAACTAAAATATATATACTATATATATATATATATATATATATATATATATATATATATTTATATATATATATATAGTATATATATATATATATAGCTTACGTAAACTTGCGACACTTTGATTCTGGGATGTTAAAACCTCACTGTTGCTTGAATCATCTATGTAAGTGGCAGTACACAAATACCAGCCAGCATCTGAACACATAGCATCGTCGACGTCTATTTCAACTGATGGTCCTGTTATGCCGCTCTTAAAATTAAATTTCCAGTGTCTTGAATTCGGTGTAAACTAAAAATAATTTTAAAATAAAACATGATGTTTCTGTCAACATAATTATTGTATAATTATTTTCTACTATTAAAATGTATTTGATTCAAGGTTTTAAATTATTAGATAGGTTCACTTAATTTTATTTGTCGACATAATAGTTTTTAAAATATGTAATAATTTAATACATTATAACACATAATGCAGCCTGTATCAGTGGCGTAGCTACCGTAAAGCTAGCGTAAGCAAGGTATAGGGGCCCAGGGCATTTAGTGGCCCTTTTCTCTTTGAAACTTTTACATCGGAATTTTAACATTTGTTTTATATAAATAATTTTAAAAAGAAAATTAAAATCCAGTTTATTTTTATTGTAGAAATAAATAAAAGTTTCAAAAAGGCCCCTTTATTACTTTACAATAAGTAGTGGAATTCAGTGGGGGTCGAGGGGAGGTAAGTGGGGGCGGGGGGTTGGGAGGGTCGAACGGGGCCCATCAGTAATAATATCACTACAGGAGTTGCCGCATGGTTGTGCAAGCCATTGAGATAATTAGTCTATAAATAATATTGAACTGACTCTTTTGTGAGATCGGCATCCAGCACCCGTAAATTTACATGCATCGCTAAAAACCTCAACTGACTAAGAAATTCCCCCCCCCCCCCACAGACCTGTACCTCCCCTCCCCCCACTTCTTACTGTCTGCCCACCACGAAATTCCATCTTACTAAACATCCTAATAACAACTGAACCATTTTTTAAAAATAACCATGGACAAAGTTTTTACAGCCATCTGAGTCCAGCATTTGTCGATGTACGTAAATGACATTGCATATGTTTAAGTAATTAATCTTTAAGGGGATATGCTCAGTTTTTATTTTTTATTTTTTACTATTTAAGATCTAAAGCATTTTGAATACTTTTTTGGCACATGAAAGTAAGTATTAAATACAGAAAAAAAGGTTGAAACCAATTTCGGTTTTCATGGAAACCCAAAAAAACCTCAGCCATTTTGAATTTTTCGGTACTTTTAAAAATGCTACCGCTATTTTATTTATGCAAGTATAGTAATCAAATTTAAACTGCTTATATTTCAGTATATATTAAAACTTCTGTCACGATAAATTTTTGAAATAGCTATTAGTAAGTATTTTACAAGGTCTAAAATATCTCACCTTTTTTAGTATTCAAAATGTGCCTATTATTTACCATATACTTTTTTTTTACGAAAGCCATCAACCTTCCAACATGACAGAAATTGTATTTTTGCATAACGAACAATTACTGAAATGATGGTGGGCATTGTTTAATAAATATAAAAATCGTAGGGTATTTACTGTTAAAAACCTGCAAACTGAGAAAAACAGACAAAAGTAACGAAAAGTAGGTCACGAAAAATCTTATCAGTGTAACTTGTAAAGCCGATTGTAAGCTTTGGGTGTTTCCGAGATGATAGAAATTAAGATTATCGAATACATGAGAAATCCAGCTTTCCAATGATGCCAAATACAATATGATGACGGATATAAAACTTTTCATAGAGGGCTTTTAACGTTGGGCATGATTGATCATTTTTAATTAATAAGGTCATAAAAATGGTATTTTAAACACATTTTTTTTTTCTCATTAAAGTTATTTTTTTCTTAATACAAAAATAAAGAAAGTATCCAAAAGGGCAAGAAACCCATCACGACGAAAGACCAGAAATTTGGTGATTTTTTTTACGGAGCATATCCCATTAAGACACAACTGTGTTTACTTATTAAAACATATTAACTGTAAGCCTGTAACTTTTTTTACAAAGCTACATAATAACATAGTATAAATACACAATCGGGACGTATAAAATATAAAATGTACCGCATATTTATATTATTTAAAGCATTACATCATAAGCAGTGGCGTAGCGGGGTCGGGTGTCACCCGGTGCGGCACCTTATAGTGTCACCCCCCCCCCCTCGTAAGAAATATATATATATATATATATATATATATATATATATATATATATATATATATATATATATATATATATATATATATATATATATATATATATATTTCTCTTCTGTGAGACGTTAGAAAACAAGCTGCAAGCGCGCCTTGCAGTCCCCTCTCTTCCTCACTATCACTACCACCCCACCCCCACATGGTCTGGTGAGCTGTGGTTCACGCTAAATAATTACAAATCGTAGAGCCGGGATTAGTGACGGCTATTAGGGGCAGATAACTTAGTTTGAAACGATTTTAAACTTACAAGAGGTAACTAAGCGGAGGCTGCTTTCACGGGGAGGGGGGGGGGGGGTGTAGGGTCGGGGTTAGGGGAAAGGGGGGAGGGGGGTAGTGTTTTAAAGCAAATATTTTCAGTGACAGCATTGGTACTGTCGAATTCACAAATTATGAATTACTGAAAAGTAGAAAATAAAACAACAAAATAGCGGCGTATGATACGCCGCGGGTTGGCTCGTATATATATATTCCCGTGCGGCGTCAAAACGGCCAATGACAAAACGGCCCCGTCGAAACGACCCCGACAAATCGGCCCCGACATAAGAGCCCCGTCAAAATGGCCAGCGACATAAAGGCTCCCGATAAATAGGCTCCCGTCATTTAGGATCCCGACAAATAGGCTCCCGTTATATAGGCTCCCGACAAAAGGGCTCCAGTCGATAAGGCTCCCGACATATAGGCTCCCGTCATTTAGTTTTTTCCACAAAACGGCCCCCGTCATTACAACTCCCGACAAATAGGCTAGCGTCATTTTGGCTCACGACAAAAAGGATCCTATCAATTTGGCTCCAGACAAAAGGACCACTGACGATACCGTTTCTGTAGAGACTAAGTCTCCCGGCAAAACGGTCTCATTGAATATGACACCTGCCAGTGGGACCCCTTCATCAATATTCTTTAGAGTTAGCTTATCCAACACTCTTAAGTAATACAACGTATGCATCTCTTGTTCGGCAGGCCTTTTTTATATTAGTTTATCTATTATAAAATATAGTATGTTTTAATTTAAGGGTCATCTATCTATGACTTCCATAATTGAGTCGGTTATAGGCTGTTCCAACTCAGTGTGTGGGGAGAAGGGTCCACGCTTTACCTTCCTACCTCTAGTATGCTTGTAGGTTATCAAAACAAAATGTTGTTATCATGTAAACATCATGTATACCGTACATGTTCACTTCTGTGCTCGCTTTTATGCAACAGATCTTTACTGTTGTAAATTAAACATTATCAAAATTTTAGAATTGGTAGACTTTAGCTGTTAAGGGCTTGATTTGTTTGTGAATGGATGTTGGTTCATGAAAAACAATTTCATTCAGGCATTAAAAAGTGGTTATAGTAGTAGTGGAGGTAGGACAAAATGGTTACTTTTATGCCAATAGTGGTCATGCCATTCATTTGTATGGAGCCAATATGTAGGGAGTCATTTTGTCGGTAGCCAATATGTCATGAGCCCATTTGTCGGGAGCCCATTTGTTGTGAGCCCTTTTGTCGGAAGCCAATATGTCGGGAAACTGTATGTCCTGAGCCTATTTGTCGGGAGCCTAAATGTCGGGAGCTCATTTGTGGGGAGCCTATATGTCGCGAGTCAATATAACGGGAGCCCATTTGACGGGAGCCAATAAGTCGGGGCCCATTTGACGGGGCTATTTTGGGTCGTTTTGTCGGGGGACGATTTGACGGGGTGATATTAACGGGGCCGTTTTGACGGGGCCGATTTGTCCCGGGCCGTTTTGATAGGGCACCATATATTCCATATACACTCGTAAGTATGTGTATGCGCATGTGTATATGTATTCAATTTTTTTTTCTTCTGGATGTATTTAATTTTTTTATCAACCCATTCCCATCCCACCCCATAAATGGATTAAGATATACTTTATTACGATTCTCAACCAAACCGTTTTCCTCAGTCATATATATTGCAACGCTGAGTTGATGTAACTCCTCCCCTCCCCCCCCCCCCCACCACCGTCACCCCCACAGTGATTGCTTAAACTATGATAATACTAACGATTTGCATCTATATTCGGTTATAAATTCAGCTGGATGTTGCATGTTTTCTTTATCATTAGCAGATTTACGTCATGGTGTCCCCCCCCCCCTCTCCCCCCCCCCCCCCTACATTCGTGTCGGGATTTGTCCACTTTGCTCTTAAAAGACTATTTAATTCACTCACATTAATCATTTAATTAAGTGAAATTTTCATTTTTCTGTATATATTTTGCTATTTTTTGCCTTGGTGTCGCCCCCATAAATGGTGTCACCCGGTGCGGTCCGCACCCACCGCACCCCCATCGCTACACCTCTGATCATAAGTAGCAGTTGATTTCTTCGTTTAACTCCATTGTAGCCTATCGGCTGATGAAGGGGTCCACTGATCATTTTTACATAGGGGCCTGAAAATCCTAACTACGCCACTGGCCTGTGTATTAATACAATAAGCAAAGCAAGACTATTGTATACGTTAAAATTTATATACACATATGCATTTGCTTATGCATAAGAATTGAAAGTTATATTTATAACCACAGTTGCTTTTAAATTTTACTAGATTCAAAAACTATTTTTATTTTTCTTTTGCAAATTAATTAGTATGTACATTTATTTTAAATGGATGAAAGAGTAATAAAGTAGCCTGGCATAGTTTGATCAAATTTATCTTACAGAAAAATTGTTTGGTTGTGGTAGAAGGCTGTAGTTTGCATACGTTATTGGTTCCTCTGTCCCATTCGTCCATGTAATTTCCAAAGATACAACAGAAGCATAACTAGTTGGAACTCCAGCCAATGACGAGTCACATTTCACAGAAAATTGATTCCCTTCCTCAATCACGATTGGATTTAGAATTGCTGGAAAACATTTGATAGTACTGGTATATGTAGGAAAATTTAAATATGCTGCTTTTATATGAATGGCTGGAATGTGCCTGAATATTACTATTTACTGTAGATTAAAGACGAATATATCGTTTCGTTTTATGTCGTAAACTGTTCGTGTTTTTTTTGTTAAGTCGTCCAGAATTATGGCGGCGCTGTTTGGCTGTTTATGTCGCTGTCTACTGCTAGTCTGTGCATATTTTGTTTATATTGTTGTTGATATTTATATTAAGTGTCTTTTTGTATAATTCTGTCTATTGTTTCGTGACGTGTTGTTTGTTAGCTGTGATTTGGGTACTATTTGTTGCGGCGCAGTGGGCAATATGTGTGTGTACGTCAGTTTTGTGCGCAGGATTCGAATTCCTTTTCGAATGTTGTGGGGATGTGGAGGTTGTCTGTCGTGTCAGAACTTAGACTATCCTAAGGCATCGAAAGTTTAGAACAACATCCAAAGTTGTGTGTTTTTATTCTATGTCCCTGAATTCTGGTCGGATAGTTGATTTTTTAAAATTTTCTATTTCACTTTTATATTATGCATTTTTGCCATAGGCTAACTTTTCTGCTCATCTAAATTTAGACTTTCATTGAGTCACTAACTTGGTAGGGTCGAACCACGTGGTGACAGACTTTATTTTAAAGTCAATTTGTATTTATGTAATGCATTTTTCTTAATATTATGGCTTATGATTGTGAACCTCATGTAAAGGGAATAGTTCACATTATTATTTTTAGTTATCCAGTGGATTTAAGTTAATAGGCTTTGTTATTTATACTTGACCCACAGTTGTATCCCTTGGGCTTATGTTAAGCTAGGGATAAGGTTTATTTAGACTTGACCCACCGTTCTGGTTCACCCCCGACTGTTGGGTTAAGTTATGCTTCTGTTTTTTAAGTAACTGTTTTTATACTGTTTAATGCCATTTTAGTCGATCATGACTTCCTATGGAGAGCTTTATTGTATCCCAGGGTGGTGTTTAGTTTATCCCGGTTACTATCTAGTTGCAGTCAGGATTATAGTGTGAATGTCGACTGATTGTTACTTATTAGGGATATCTTTATTGAGACCCTAGAGGAAGATTTGGTTCAGTCTGACTGTGAGGGTGGGGATTTTAAAGATGCGAAACGAATGAATCCAATAACACAGAGTTCAAGTTCCAAATACAAAGTTCTTTATTCATATGTATATAATCATGTTCTACCTAACTAGCTATACTCTCCACTATTTACTTCTGCTACTGACTGTTCACTATACCACTAACTACGCACTCCCATGATCAATCCTAACACTATCTACATTCTAACTGTTCCCTACATAACTACGTCTGCTCCATTCTACAACCTAACACCTTCTGCCCTCGCTAGCTAATCATCATCTCCCGGCCTATCTCTCTACTGACCCACGCCTCAGTGGTCAGCTGGCCGTCCCACGTGACCGGTCAGCCCTGTGCGCCCATTGGCCTCTCTAACCAACCAACTAGGCCTATAGTCTGTTTCTGCTAAACTATATCTGCTAAACATGTCTGACGTAATCTTGCGTCATCACACTGACCTATATTATATTATTGTTAGTTGTCTTATATGGACTACTAATGTAGTGAGTTGTCCTATATGGACTACTAATGTAGTGAGTTGTCCTGTATGGACTACTAATGTAGTGAGTTGTCCTATATGGACTACTAATGTAGTGAGTTGTCCTATATGGACTACTAATGTAGTGAGTTGTATAACATGTATAAATAAATATATTAATTCATTAAAGAATGCATATGAATATAAGAGTCTAATTAAACTAATTAAAATAAAATAATTTTTGTGATTAAGACAACAAATGATAAATAACATTTGAAGATTTAATTACAACTAATTATTGAAAGAAAAAATAATTGTATGTTCCGGAGCAAAAGATTTTAAAATGAACTCACATTTCTTTGCATGTATTGTCATTCTCCCAACTGTTGTATCTTGATTGTTTACTGTAGCTACACACACGTAACTATAATTATCATACGTGTCGTTTATTTGAAAACTCAGATATGAGTAACGGAAGTACCAATTACACTCATTCGTGATTAAATTTGCGTATTTTTCAACCGTTATATCACCATCTTCAGGATAATTCTGTAAGCTGTTCACATCAGAACTAGCTTTGCCAAACTTCCAAGTAAAGTTTACATTCTCTGGTCCCTATAATCACAGGCGGAGTAGATTTAGAATATCATATCTACACTGTTATTGTTGTTATTTGATAAAATCAACCCTAAAAATTACCAAAATAAAGTCTAAAACATTACATAATCTGACCAATTACGATTACTATCTAAAACTAGACTGTGGATTACCTGACGAAAATTATAAGTATACTCACACCAGCAAAACACGTTAGTGTAACCCGAGATCCTATAGGATTGACAGACTCATATGCACCATATCCCTCATTGTATTGGGGACTTAATATTAACTTCGAATAATCTATCTTTAATGCTTGAAATATACAAATATTAATTAAATTTTTAATGGATTTTTTTCTAATTTTTACAGTAATTAGCTAAAAATGGCTGATTTGTTTAGCATCTACCACTTAATCATCAATATAGTTATATCGTGGTGAAGCTTCAACCATCTTCATCACAACATCAGGAGTGTGTAAAGCAATTTAAATATACCATCAAATAATTTGCTAAAATACATTTTTGGAGTATAAAAACGTACCTATTATGTTCATATATTCACGAACCTCTGTCAGCCTTTCAAGGCCGTCTTTATCAAGGTATATCGCTTTACAAATATAGTCACCAATATGATAACATCCAGCTTCATAAAACACTATTTTTATTGACATAGTGTTCCTGTTTGTTGGTGTGTCTGATGTTCCTTTCAGGTTCCCAGAAAAATTGACGCTCCAGTTTCCTGCGTTACCAATCTTTAGAGGAAATTTTAGAATTCAGAAAACATTATATATATATATATATATATATATATATATATATATATATATATATATATATATATATATATAAAGGACCATGACTTGTGTGTTTAGTAATCAGCATATCCCCGGCATTGACCGGGTTTAGGAAATATATTAATTTTTGAATTAACCATAGCCACAACCTACCAAAAACTAAAAATAAATGCAAAAAACAAACGTAAACATAACACAAATGCAAACACAAACGCAAAAAAAAACAAATGAAATACAAACACAAATGAAAACACAGAAGCAAACACAAACAAGACGTCAAAATACACCCAAACGCAACATAAACACAAAGTAAAATACAAACGCAAATCTAAAGGCAAACAATAATGCAGAATAGAAACACAAAATTAAATACAAACATGAACGCATAGTGCTCACAGTATATTCAATTCGCACGCTGTATGAGCTACGGCGCAACCGCCTGATTAAACTTAGTGAACGACGCCCTGGATTCGATTTAGTGAAAGACTATAGACATTTTTTTATTTATAGCCTATCGCACTCTTTAAAACGAACGTATGCACCATAGCTCTCACGTGATAGTCCGGGGCGCAAATCGCAACCTGACGGTTTGCCGGAGGTCGAACCTGATTCAATTTAGTGAACAGCTATAATACCAAATTTTATCAGCAAACATAAAGATAAAAGTTAACATAGAGGACATTTAGGAACGGCTACTAAACTGTTATTGATTAAACATAATAATCTATATATATATATAATTCTCTTCTGGGAGACGCTAGAAAACAAGCTGTAAACGCACTCCCTACCACCCCACCTCTACATGGTCTTAGTGAGCTGTGTTCACTCAAAATGTTTACAAGCAGAGCCGGTTTAGTGACGACTATTAGGGGCAGATAATTTAATTTGAAACGATATTAAACGTAGGGGGGGGAGGGGGGGTTATGGTCCTTAACGAGCTACTTATAATGTTTAAAGAAATATTTTCAGTGGCAGCTTTGGTACTGTCGAATTCACAAATTATGGATTACTTAAAAGTAGAAAAAAACAATAACTAAATAGCGGCGTATGATACGCCGCGGGTCGGCTCGTTAATAGTAATAACATTCAGTAGGCCCTATATAAAATAGATGAAAGGTATTATTTAAAATAATTTTTTTTTGCACTTTATCAATCCATGGTATTTATATAGTTATGTTTTTGCAATATCAAAACTAACTAATAAAAAGTATCTCTCCCCCCTTCCCCTCTCACCCCGATGGGTCTATGAAAAGTAATTTTTTTTTGGTGTGATCTGTCAAGAAAAGTAATTGGTGCTAAAAGACTAAGGGAAGTAATTTTCATACACAATTGGTAGAGTGGTAGAGAGCTTGGCTGCTAACCCTAGAGTCTATAGATTGAATTTCGATTCAAATTCAGAGGAACATCCCTGAGTCCACCCAGCTGTGATGCAGCTGTGATGGAGGCGTAGGAAAACAAAGACGGCTGGGCATAGTGTTGACCACACTAACCCTTCATATGCCGAGGTCTCTGAAGAAGATGAACTCTTCTTCGTCTGCCCCATGTGTCTTGGAGTAGAACGAGAAATGATGATGGTATCGACATCGTTTATATAATTTCAGTCATCGAGTGAAGGATTTTACAGCTGTACATGATAAATTTGCATTAAAAAAAAACAGAATTGAGCTTTAAAATTATTATTTCTTTTTACAGAAGCTTTATCAATTTTGTTACTAATAACAACATTAATGATGTCCGATAATGCTGTTTTTTTTTTTTAGAATTTAAAAACATTTTTATCAATAATAGATGTGGGACAATTCCACACCCTATGGAAATTCCTCGTCATAAAGTGTTAATTTAATTTTTATTTTAGTCTATAGAGCGTATTTGTAATGCCAGATTTAAAGCTAGCAATAATTTGATTATTAGCATTATATAAAAAATGTTTTTATAATTTCAGTAATTTTCATAATCAGCCCAAAACATCTGCTTAAGAATAAGAGCAGCTCAAGACGTGGAGGTTTTGAAAACGGTTATAGAAAAAGACCATAGTTGTTAAAATGGCATTTCCTTCTTCCAGTGATGAAAAGTAGCTATTCCCATACACACCTTCAGAGTTTTCTGCACATTTTCAATTTTGTTATAAAATTTTAATTTATTGCTGCAGAGTGTGGAATTGCCCCACCTTTCTTATTTTCGCAATAAAAAGAAACATCTAAAAGCTGTTTTTGATTTGAGATTTGTCTATGTATTCTTTTACCATCATATAAATATATTCGTGTACAAGTATACACCTTTCAAAGTTATGAAGTAGTTATAATACATGTTTTTTAATAAATACAAATACAAGTAGAGTGTGGAATAGACCCGGACCACCCTACTTAGTGTAAATCTATTTGAAGGAGCTTTATGTGCACCTCTATTAGACTAGTATAAGAAGGGCAGTAAGTCACGGAGCGAATGTGAACTTTTGCCTATCTTTCAGTTTCAAACTAAAGCTCATGTAGATTTTAACAATATTTTTCTACGCAACAGTGTGTGTTAGTTGTTGTAAAACAATCACTCTTAAAACAGACCTGTCTTTTTTTTTACAAAATCACTATCAAGATGAATGAAAACATATTATTTAAAAGAAAAATATGTTGTTTTATTCTGGTCGGATTTTGGGCCCCATAAGCGACCGGCAACCCTCTCCCCCCCCCCCCCCCATAGTTCAATATTCTTAAAGCGTTTCTTATCTAAATTAATGATTTGTATATATCTGTGTGTGTTTGTAAGAGTATGTGTGTCTGTGTGTATTTCTGTGTGTCTGTCTTTGAAAACGATACATTGAGTACCATTACAGCTAGTTTGCCAAAATTTCATATACTAGTATTTTATCAAATTCGCATTTCGGTATCAATTTTTCAGCGATTTCCGGGAAGTGTAACTTTTTTTTCAAAAGCCTATAACTTTACCTCTGTTTCAGTTAAATAGACGAGATTTCAAATGTATATAGAAAATGTCTAAAACAAACACTGCACAATTGAGGTTTAGCGGCCAAAAGTAGGAAACGGGTTACGATTATAGATGTATGGTCTAACTTTAGTCTGTATGATCGACAAAATCGAGCAGCGTTTGGCACCTCCAAGATTACGGGATCCGGCATCATAGTAGCTCACCTTCAGTTTAAACTTTAACATAAACTCCAAAAACTACCGACTCCGCTTACCTCTACACAGCCTTATATATTACTCTATCACAATCTAACAATAAATCTTTTAAAATGCCGATGTTTATTTTTATATTTTGCTGATTAAAATGTTATTAAAAGGTTAACCCAAAACAAATCCTACATCATTTCCAAGCCTTCTTCAAAGCTAAATTGTAGGTTTAAATTAATTATTGATTGTTGACATAAGTCCTAGGTAGATCAAAATTCTTACCGTGTAAGTGTAAGGAGGATAGTACGTTCTGTACCTCGCGTAAAGTGTCCTGTCTTTACCAAAAAATACAAAGAGCTGGGTAACGGTTGCAACATTTTCTGGAACACCAGCACGTGTCGCGTCACATGTCACATTAAACGATTCTCCGTACTCAGTCACATTTGGATTCAGTATTGATTGAGCGCTACCTTATAGGAAAACATGAATGTTAAGTTTACTTTGCAAAGGCATCCAAAGCTGATATTCAATAGCTCATAAAGAATGGAGGTGTTTTATCACTATGATGCATCGTGTTATATCGAGTAATTAATAATCATTACGTTGATTTCCTTTATTCTTTTTGCAGCTTCAATTTCGTTATGATGCATGTTCTATGAGCATAAATGGGCGTGAATGACTGTTGAAACGGACGTGTATTAAACGAATTAAAATGTTTCGAGAGATAATGACGTGGAAGGTAGAAAGAACGTTGTTTCCATAGAAACAAAGCTAGTGAGTTCGGCTACTCTATTGATGTGAGAGGTAATATGTGTCCTGCCATTGACTAGTCCACTCAAAAACTAGTCTGATGCTAGTAATGGTTTGAATAAAGACTGGAGTAGAAAGAAATAAGTATCCTGTCAAGTATATTCACGCTGTGTGTGACCAAGCGATAACCTATGAGAAGGGATATTACTAGTGGAACGCTCACAGTGGTTGACAATGACAATGGTATGGAAAGGTGAAGCCCTCTCACAGCGACCCTAAACAATTTCTTACCTGTAATCAGCTAGGTATAAAATTTGGCAGACGCTTATGAGGCTTAATTACTAGTAAAAGATTTTAATGAAACATAATTAAATATATTAGTTGTAAAACAGAGAGATACTTTTTAGGGATAAATTGTAGCTAATTTGATACAATTGATATGTTGTACGTTATAAAAGTGTTGATGTGAGTCTGGGGTGTTTTTGTGAAGAAGGGGTGCAGATAGGTAAGCGTTGACATGGTAAATGTGTTTTAGTTGGTGTAGCGCAGCTAATGCATTAAACACAAGCTGCATAACCGTGGTATTTTTACGATGTAATTATTTTAAAATAGAAGGGCCTATACCTTGAACATTGTTAAGTTTCAAAATATAGGGTTAGAAAGTTTCAACATAATTTTCTCATATTAAGTGGTCGTGTTGTTGTCGGAGTAGTTAGCTATATAAGCTGAGTTACACCACAGCGGTACATGAAGTAACATTATATTGTCAATACTATACAATTCAAATCAAGAATTTCTAACAAGTTGTCTTACAACGTACTAAAATGTATTCATGTCTCTCTCACTCTTTCTCTCTTTATATTTCTTTCTTTCTCTCTCTCTCTCTCTCTCTCTCTGTCTCTCTCTGTCTCTCTCTCTCTCATAACCGTACTTTAAATACAGTATACATATTTAAATTTCTAAGTACTTACTTATGTGTATTTCCCAAATGAAAAAACAATACCCCAATATTTGCAATAACATGATTTGAGATTGAAACTGTTGCTATCTGTACCAGTTGAAACTGTAATGATACCTTAACTACCCTATGTAGGCAGATCACTTAGACATGGCGTCGTGTGCATTATATTACTGGTTGTGGCCGTCAGGCGCCACTGCACATGCATACTTCATACTTTACGTAAGTGTACCTGGCATATTGCCGGCCTTAATGCTGTTGAATAGGGCTAGAATGGTTGAGCCACAGTACTTACATTACAGATGGTCTCTTAAGTCAAATTACAGATGGTCTCTTAAGTCAAATTACAGATGGTCTCTTAAGTCAAATTACAGATGGTCTCTTAAGTCAAATTACAGATGGTCTCTTAAGTCAAATTACAGATGGTCTCTTAAGTCAAATTACAGATGGTCTCTTAAGTCAAATTACAGATGGTCTCTTAAGTCAAATTACAGATGGTCTCTTAAGTCAAATTACAGATGGTCTCTTGGGTCAAATTACAGATGGTCTCTTAAGTCAAATTACAGATGGTCTCTTAAGTCAAATTACAGATGGTCTCTTAAGTCAAATTACAGATGGTCTCTTAAGTCAAATTACAGATGGTCTCTTAAGTCAAATTACAGATGGTCTCTTAAGTCAAATTACAGATGGTCTCTTAAGTCAAATTACAGATGGTCTCTTGGGTCAAATTACAGATGGTCTCTTAAGTCAAATTACAGATGGTCTCTTAAGTCAAATTACAGATGGTCTCTTAAGTCAAATTACAGATGGTCTCTTAAGTCAAATTACAGATGGTCTCTTAAGTCAAATTACAGATGGTCTCTTAAGTCAAATTACAGATGGTCTCTTAAGTCAAATTACAGATGGTCTCTTAAGTCAAATTACAGATGGTCTCTTAAGTCAAATTACAGATGGTCTCTTGGGTCAAATTACAGATGGTCTCTTAAGTCAAATTACAGATGGTCTCTTAAGTCAAATTACAGATGGTCTCTTAAGTCAAATTACAGATGGTCTCTTAAGTCAAATTACAGATGGTCTCTTAAGTCAAATTACAGATGGTCTCAGATCCCAAAGTTGAGTCATTGATACCCAACTATCAATTTCCTTGGTCAGAGTACCAAAATTTACCTAATCTAAGAACGTATAGGATAGATTTGAAGTAATAGTGTTGTTTATGTTTGGAGACACACCTAGAAAAATATTACGCCTCAACATTATGTATAATACTGTAATGTTCTTATAGAGGACCTAACTCATTCTAAACCAGTAATATTTATAGTCATGTTCTGCTATAGCGAAAGTAGAAAATGTGTCCGTGGCTTAAGACTACATTTCGAACATTTTTTTTCCTTTGACTTCAGCTAATGCTACATTCCGAGTAATAAATATGCCGCCGTTCCTCAACCGTTTGTATAAGCGACGTTGGACTTTCTATAATTAAATGGTTAAAAACGGGTGTGTGGATTGTAAACATTGCTTTTATGTTATAAGTTAATACATACACTCCTAAACAATTGATCTAATTAAGAATTTTTCACTAAAATTACATATTATGCTCTTTATTTCATAGTTATAAAAAAATCGGCAGCAAAATCAGAAATGGAATTACATAAAATAGATTAACTCTTTTTTGTGGTTATAAAAATCTGGCTTAAAAATAAACGTGTTATACGATTGGGAAACTTGTTTCATGAGTGTTTTTTAAGTTGAAATATGTACATATGATTAATATCCAGTTAGTGATGTTTCAAAAATGTAAACGACGAAGTTTTCTATAAGAATCAATACAAGGCGGGTTCATTTGTTCACGCTTTAGCAAGCCTACATGCAGAAAAGCCCAGAGATATGACAACTGTCAAAAAAATGTGATACATGACGCCGTTGATCACATTACCTGCACAGACAGACGTTCACATTAACACGGCTGAACGACGGAGATTAAAGAGGCGAGTCTTCACGCATCACGTGCCGTCCAGGTTGAAATGACACAGGAAAACCTCTGCAACTGCACTTGCAAGAGTTTTTTTTTTAATGATAATTTAACTGACATTTGCATTACTAGACCTACTTACATTTTTTTTTTAAGTTGGTATTGGATAGGAAATACGATTGATTTTTTAAAATATCTCAACAACATTCAATATTCAGAGGTAATTGAATTTTTTTTAAAAAGGAGAGAAAAAATGCTACTTTCGTGTATTAAAAAGTTCTCAACCCAATATGATGCCCAAAACGTCTCCCTGGCTAAAACTTACCACAGAAATATAATATTTCAATAATCCTAATGAGGTATTTAGGCAGTACAAAGTATTTCTGACAAAAAATCTGGACAGAATGACATAAGCAACAATACAGATAGGACAGCAGTGGGCTGTGAGAATTTTACTACTTCTTCATCTCCACCTCTAGAACACTCCCCACATCGACGTAGTCTTAACATTCTTTCAAACGTTCGCATAATTGACGAAACTCAGTGCAATCGTGCCCTCAGACAAGAACGATTGCCGTGTGCTGTAAGCTTGATATGCGCATTTTATCACCCACGACTTCACGTTTCGTTGATTTTAATACATGTCTGGGATTAAGTTAGAACTCGGTCAGCTGAAACTAGATCACACAAGAGAGGAAAGATATTTTTAGACAAATAGGGTACTTATCGTTCGAGCACACAACACACACAGTAAGGGGACGCTACATTTAAGGGATATAACAGGGATATGTAATATTATATATATATATATATATATATATATATATATATATATATATATATATATATATATATATATATATGCTTAGCCATCCTAATAGGCTAAAGTATGATATTTAATTTGTGTGTGGCTTTGTATCAAGTGACACTGATTATTAAAGCGACTTTTTTATGTATTCACATTTGAAGTTAGAAAGGAAGAATAAAATAAACGTTAAAACAAAGTTTATTCTGATCATTCAGTCTGTGTATTTCAGTCATTATATTTCCCAAAAACACATGAACCAAATATAAATAATGCTAGTCAAAATATTCCTATCGTGGCAAAAAGACTCCACCTCTACACACCCCCTAGCCCTTAGAACCTCGCCGCCCTCTATACACCATTGTACAAAGACATCAAACCTGTAATGAATATTTAGCTGCATGTTAATTCAGGCATGCACAATCGTGTGTGTGTCATGCTGTGTTAAACAATCTTGTAGAGGCGTGCAGTTAATCAACCATGTAGCCTAGCGTTTACATCGTAAACCTGGTTATACAAAGTAGGCAGTTAGGGCGTATACACCTTGGCAGGTCATACTCTTATTTGAGGCTATCAGTTCATACAAACATTGGCAGGTCATACAATTATTTGAGGCTATCAGTTCATACATTGGCATGTCAAACATTATTTGAGGCTATCAGTTCTTACAAACATTGGCAGGGCATACAATTATTTGAGGCTATCAGTTCATACATTGGCATGTCAAACAATTATTTGAGGTTATCAGTGCATACAAACATTGGCAGGTCAAACATTATTTGAGGCTATCAGTGCATACAAACATTGGCAGGTCATACAATTATTTGAGGCTATCAGTGCATACAAACATTGGCATGTGCTAATAGACTGAAGGCTGTCAGGTCATACAATGGCAGCTAATGACACAATCAACATTTTAGATAGAACTCCAATTTAAACAAAACTAATTTTGTATAGTAGCACCCCACCAGGAAGATAAAATTTTCACCATAGCTTTGCTTCTGTGCGTGATTCTGATAGTCAACTTCGCGACAAGTACCTTTGAAAGCACAACCGAAGTAAATTGATGTTTGTTGACAAGAACAAATCAATTGGGCTAAATATCGAAACAGGTATAGTACTACCAATAACCCAGCTGGTTTGTATATAAGTCATTTAAACAAGCACGCAAACTAACAACACGATAAATATATCTTGAATAAGAGAGGTTGAATGGGCGATATGTCTGGATTTTGCCTGAATCGAAAGTGTCTAATCTACGGCGATTGTCTAAAAACTATGAAGTATGATGTGGCTAAAATCAGATGAAATCAGTCTTTTAAATCTCATTTAAATCTTTGCGGAATTTCAGACACCCATAGGTTTTCATAACCGCCAGTAAATCTCTGAAATCGGCCGTACACTTCTCACACCCTATCTGCATCCAACCGTAGCAAAACGTCGGATAGTAAAGCAGATGCGTAGCGACCCTTCCCGGCGCCCGGGGACAAACTTTCAATTTGGCGCCCCCCTCGAGAGCAAACTTTCGATTTGCACCCCCCCCCCCCCCCCTCAAACTTTCGACCTCCCCTCAAACTATTTATAATGCAAAAATGAAGCTAAAATGACATTTTAATTTGTCTTTACAACCCATTTTGGCGCCCCCTAAGGTCGGCGCCCGGAGACATATGTACCCCCCTGCCCCCCTATCGCTACGCCTCTGTAGTAAAGCAGGTACAGTTGACAGTAAGCCATTAAAGGTTAACATGACACAAGTTATAAGAAGTCCAAGGTTCTTGCCATTTAGGCACTGATCAGTTATAAGAGAAACTAGTCAGGGAGTTTTCAGCGCCGTGTGCTGTTTTCAGTGTTAATCAAGCTAGCTGTTTTGCCTTGTCAATAAAATCCCAATCGAAATCAGTCATAATAAAATTAATCTTCTTAAAAATGTAATCACTCAAGAAGAACTTGTTTACATGCGTTTTTTCTCTTATATGGGGGAACGGCGGTTAATGGGAAATGACTTCTGTGTAACATTACGACTGGGTATTGTATGTATTACATAAAAACGTATGTACGATAGTATTTTTGGTCAGTGGCGTCGCTAGGTTGTGTGTCACCCGGCCCCGCCATCGCTACGCCTCTATGCTTAGCTATGTATTTAAAATGTATTAATGTTATCAAACTTACATATCGCCATAACAATTACTTTAAAATTTCGATTTTTCGCACATCAGATAACCTGTTTCAAATAATTTATATAACAACTATTTTTTTTAATGTTCATTTCTTCTGTTTTCACTACGTCATTTTGTTTATGTCATGAGTGCGAATTATGTTCGGTAGCAGGTCTGTCGACTGTTACTGTTCGGTAGCAGGTCTGAGGGTTGTTAAATCTGCTACTATTGTAAGAACGTGTAGAAGCTGATTAAAGTATATCATTCACTTACGTTTTAGCATTTTAGAATATTTAAAAAAAAATCAATCTTTCTTTTCATCGAGATCGAAAACGAATTGCGGCAATAATCAATATCTAGATATATATACTAATTTTAGAATTTTTGTTGCGTCTAGAAACTTGTTTGGAAAAAAAAGATAAGACCTGTGTTTGCTATACACAGAGCGTGTGTGTACAGTTGTATAGTAGGAGACTCTAGGGCTAGATCTGTATCACTCGGACCAACAGAACATAGTGAAATTGTAGATCTGTATCAAAATAAAAATTCTTATTTATGATTTGATGTTACTAATAATTGTGTTAAATAGCGACTGTGCATGTGTCAACTATTAACTCAAGTGTATACTATTAAAGATGCCTGTATTGTGTTAAGAATCAAAGAATAAGTAAAGTTCATAGCCTCTGTAGAATAGGCCTACTGCAGATCGAATTATAATTCTAATATTTAATCAGACTCTGTGAGGCCTTTAGTCAATATTTACTAATAACCAGAAGATCACCTAGTCATAATTTTTTCAAATTATTTTGTAATGGATCACCCAACACCGAAACAAATCAAATTTCTCAACCAAAAGCTTCAGGTTTTACAGAAGGAAAAATGTCTGTTGCTGGGGAAAATCGAAGATTATGTTAAACAGGTAAGTCTAGTTTATTTTTTATTTTTTGGGTCATGATTTTCTTAGTTTAACTTACAAACATTACACACAAAATATAAAAAAATGATGAATTCATTCTACCATCATACAGGGGGTTTTGCTATAGCTATTTAGCTAGTTACATATTACATAGTATCAGTGGCGTAGGCAGGGGGGGTTAGGGGGGGTCATAACCCCCCCCCCCCCCCCATAGACCCCTCAGTATATATATATATATATATATATATATATATATATATATATATATATATTATATATATATAAACTTTGAGGGGGGGGGTGCAAATTGAAAGTTTGAGGGGGGTGTGCAAATCGAAAGTTTGAGGGGGGGGGTGCAAATCGAAAGTTTGTCCCCGGGTAAAAATTGGAACCCCCCCCCCCCCCCCTTGAGACGATCCTGGCTACGCCACTGACTTTAAGTACACATCTTCTACACCGATGTTTTGTAGACTACTCTAAATTCTGTGACAAGGATTTTGGAGGAAAATGTAGTTTGATGAAGACAAACACTATACTTATTGTTCTTTACCTGTTTAAAATTCCTTTTTTTAAATCAACAAAAATGTTTTAGTTGTTTTAGTCTATCATAGTAATCATTGTTTTAAATCTTAAATAATTATCTCCAACGATTTTGATATTTCAAAAGTTGCTAATGTAAAAATCAACAGAAAAATATTTACTTTACATTTTAAGTGATTCGGACAATTTATGTCAACTGATTCATCTAGAAATTTAAGGGTAGCTTTTTGATATACATGTGTATATATGCACTTAAGTCTCTAGTCTATATGTATTTATATGCTTATTATATATGTATGTATGTATGTATATATATATATATATATATATATATATATATATATATATATATATATATATATATATATATATGTATGTATGTATGTATGTATGTATGTATGTATGTATGTATGTATGTATGTATGTATGTATGTATGTATGTATGTATGTATGTATGTATGTATGTATGTATGTATGTATGTATGTATGTATGTATGTATGTATGTATGTATGTATCCTATAAGATATTCTTTATGCATGGAAATATGGTGTTAAATACAAAAAGTACACCATCTTAATATATTGGCCTGTTCTCTAGGTTGAACAAGAAACAAGTTTATGGATACAAGGGCACCATCAAAAAGATCTGTCACATATTCGAAGCTTAATTGATACTGCCACATTCAAAATGGTAGACAGTTACGATGTTTTTCCTGTTAAAAAAGGTAACTTTTAACTATTTTTATTTATTTAACTTTACTATCATCAAACACAAACCACATGTTAATTTGACATATTAAATACATTCTTTAAAAAATGTAATAGTGCTTAATGATAAGAATTTTTGGCAAAATATTCTCATTCAGTACAGTAGTCTTATGTATTTACTAACAGTTGTATTGTTCTGTTTAAGGCAATGCTTCAGCACAGTTTATAGCAGAAGATAATATTGTATCACCTGGTGTTCCAAAATCTGACTCAAATCATGAGGCTAAAGGTAAAACGATATTCACATAACTGATGTTTTTTTACCAAATAAAATAAAGTTTTTCAGATGTTTTACTGAATAATTTGAATATATTTCTGAACACAGACACAACTGCAATAACTCCTGAACTAAGAAATCGAATAGAAACTTTTCTTAGCCAACATAATAAGGAAACCATGGAAATATTGTTCGGTTTTGAAAATCAGCTTGAAGAACTTAAAAAAATTGTCGAGAATAATTTTAGATTGATTAAAAAGGAAGGGGAATACAATATAAATATGATTTTGCAAAAGGATGAACAATTTGATACAGAACTAAAGATTCTGAAAGAAAATGTGCTGCCTTTAAATGAGCAAGTGAATTCAATAAATTTGAAAATGGAAACTTTTTCAATGCTAGAAAAAGGAATGCACTGTAATGAAACGATGCTACAGTCTCTTAACTTAGATGTTGGAAAATTGAAAATGGAAGTATCTGAGTTAAAACAAGAATTGTGTAGGGAAAGAGATAGCATTTCAGATCTTGAACAATCTACAGAAAGACAACTATTAAAAACAGACAGTTCATATGCACAATGTGAGAAAAAAGTAGGTAGATTTTATTCACATCTGCTTGCCTTATTTGCAAACTAATTAAATAATGTCTTGTTTTATTTTCTTCTGGTGCTTTAATTGTTTGTGGCTAAATTATATTGATCATTAGATTTTTTTTAAATCCTGGAAGTATCTTTTCTAATATATATATATATATATATATATATATATATATATATATAAAAATATATATATATATATATATATATATATATATATATATATATATATATATATATTTATATATATATATATATATATATATATATATATATATATATATATATATATATTAACAGCATGAGTTTGTATTTTAATTTTTTTTTACAAGCTCAGGGTTGTGAACAGTTTACTTTCCTCTCGTCTTGTGAAGTTGGAACAATCTACAGAGTGTTTTCAATCTGTTTTGGAGAAACGTCAGGAAAATTTAGCTCAGGTCTGCAGAACTTTTTTTCATAACATTAAAAGCTATTTTTTTTTATTAAAAACAAAAAGTTCTCTTTATGCTAGATATATAGTAACTCTTAAAGGCATATTCACATTAAGATTTTGAATGTTGTCCTTCAGATTTGATCTAGTTACACTTTAGGTGTCAAACATTTTTTTAGCTAATGAACAGCCTTATTCTGGTTCTTATTCCACACAGTTTACAACTATGAAGGAAAATCTCTGCAAATTACAATGGAAAACAATCAGTGTAAGTTCTTAATATCTTTCACATATGGTCACTAGAAATTTAAATTGTATAATTCAGACACAGATATGTTCCATTCTTTTAGAGGATTTACTGCAGACTATCTGAGGTGGAAAGTTGGTGGGTCTGTTGTAAAACTGTTTATATTACTGCAATTTGATTTAACAACTTGAAGCATGCTTATAAAATTCAAAATATTTTCAAGCATTTGCAACAGAAGATAAACAGTGAAATTAAATTAAACTGTTTGCTTGGTCTCAACTATGAGAATTTTTATGTCACTATAAATTAGTGTAACACAGATGGCTTTATTTCTCCAGAATTTATTAAGACATTAGTGATTAGCTGGCCTATCAAATTTTAGTATCATCATATGCTAACCTAGTGCTTTTATCTGTCAACAAAATGATATACTATTTAAAAAAATGTACCTACTCATATTTAATTAACAATTTTAAACATATCTTCAGAAATAGTTAGCTATTAGCATATGTAATATTGTGAGTTTTCAATATGGCATTTGCGCTTGTTATGCTTTAGTACGCCTACAGAAAGATTAAAAGCTTCAAATTTTAAAACTATATTAGCATGTTGTTATTTGTCTCTAAATAAATTACAAGAGGACAGAACTTTTTTTTCTGCAATGTTTACAGTTAAACATACAAATTGATGTCATTCTTGCTGGAGAAGATGGAATGGGCAAAACTTCAACAGGGAACTCTATCCTAGGAAGCTCCAAATTTGGTGCATCTAGAAACAAAGCTCGAATCCAAATCTCTGAAGAGTTTAGAACTGCTATTGATGATGTCACACTTAAGGTTACTGATCCACTGCCTGACAATCAAGTAGAGACATTGCTTGGTCTACAAATTAAAAGCAATTATGATCCCCTTTTTAAGGTACTTAAACCTGCTAAATTTCATGCATTTATCTATGTGGTTAAATTTGGTTTAGAAAAATATGATTTTTTATTTGATTTGATCAAACAGAACTATGGTATCAAAATACTTAAGAACCATTGTGTCATTGTGATGTGTGGTGGGGATGAATTTTATAAAGAGAACCCTTCTGCTACATTTGAAAGTTGGTGTGAGAAGCAAACAGGGAGATTTGCAAACATGTACACAGACTGTAACAAAAGAATAGTTTTGTTTGATAATGCAACCAGTAAGAATGAGACAATATTGGAGCAACGCAGTAAATTATTAAAAGCAATTCTCAATCTACCTAGCAAGGGCAACACATTTAATATTAAAGGAGCTCTTTCTGAATGTTCCTTACAATAATGCATTTTTGTGTATTTACTGTAATAAGCTTGCTCTTTAAAATTAAAATAACTACATCATTAGTAGATCAAAGTGAAAACATGCTGGAAATTTTGCTAATTTTATTACTTAATTTCCTATTTTTTGTTAATATGCATGACATTAAAAATAAAAGAAATATTCTTATTAAATAGTTGTCGTAAAAAAATTGTGTTTTATATAAGCCTATTTCTTGAAAATGCAATTATATATTTCATTCTAATCACAGTCAGATTAAGCATATTGTTTTCTATTTTAAATTAGGTAAGTAATTGTAAATATACCTGAATTTAAAAAAAAAAACATTGTTCTTTCATAATCCACGGCCAAAGCTTGTAACATACATATCTAGTCTTTATATGGGCCTACACACAGATGCACAAGCACATGTACACACACGCACCCTCAAGTAGTTATTTATAGGTTAAACCTACACCTTGTACACTCTCACAAATCTATTATAATTCAAACCTAAACTTTTGATTGATGTAATGCTCTTGGGAGCCAATACACTAAAAGTTCCCAAAACTTTGCAACAGTGCAAACCTTTGAAAAGAGCATGACGCCTCCCAAACCCCTGCTCTTGCGTTAGTTGTCCTGGTTTGCCGAGCCAAACATTGATGACCACAGACCATATTATATTAATAGAAAATTATTTAAGGGATATTTCTTTTTCAGTAATTATTTGTCTTGCAAATATACAATACATTCAAAGACAAAACGAGTAACAGCAAAAGTAGAATTACAGTGTAGAAGAACTAATTGTTCAGGCCAACTTTTTTATTGAGTTGTAAAGAGTTGTGTGATATTCATAAGGAGCTAGTGTAACAATTTATTGGCACGAGTTAACCACTAAAAGCTGTCGAAGAGTCCGAGAACAGCACGTTGATTAATCAGAAATTTTACAACAAATTAATTATTTGTAACAGCTAATTTTGTTTAAAGTTACAGTTGGGTCATGCTATAATAATTAATGGTTTTAAAACTACAAAGCCTAGAAAATAACGGTCTAAAAGATTGAACAAGGACCTCCTATTGCAATTGCATAACTTTTAAATTAGTAATTATTTTTGGGAACATAGTAAAATGGTTTTAATTTTAGTTATGCCAGCACAATATAGGTTTTGTAAGGTTACACTCAACTAAATATATTTTCACTTTTCAGTGCATTTTCTCATTGTTTTGATTTATTGATTTGTGAATAAAATAAAAGCATTTTGCCAAACTTTTTTTTAATGTGTAAGATTCATTTAACCCAGTCTAAAAATAATTGTATTTATAAAATCCGCTAAGGGAACTAATTATATTTAAAATTGCAAGTGAACTATTTTATCGATTCACCTCCCTTTGACCGCAAATAATTTAAATTGCAGCTTCGAGAAGTTAATAAAATATATTTTTTTTAAAGTTTTATAAAGAAACTTCAACAAATGTCAATGCTTGGTTAATTTAAGCTTTGTTATTTGTAACGTTCTTCAGTTTTCAGCTAAAGTACATATGCAAAATGTAAAAATAGACTTAAACTACTTTTCTTTTTTTTGTGATTTATAAATAAATAAATCTATTCATTTACTTATTAAATAGTTACTTCAGTGAGTGATTAATTTGTATTTATGTTATTGTTTTTGGGGTGTTGCTAACAAGACACATTGTTAGCAGCGATTTCTTGGAAAGGTCTTCTCCAGAATGGTCTATTAGCTTCTATGACTGCAGTATGGTAGTAATGATGAGTTCCATAATTAAGTGTATCTTTTGTCATTTATAAAAAAAATATATGCTTATTCAAAATCACGTAACAAAAAAATAAAACATGGATGTCATTTTGGATGCACAAATGGATTAATGGGATTTCAAATAATTGAAAAGGTTAACAACTCTTTTGGGTTTTCACGATCTATCAATCTACATTTTCGAACACTGCAAATTTGGACTGTGGCGCAAACTTTCATTTGACATTATTTTTACAAAATTGATACTTTTAAACAATCGTTATTTGTTGCATATTTAGCATCAAGTTCAAGATCATTATTTTTACAAACTTTTTACACACTTTCTTAAAAATATTAACCTAACTAAACAACTACAGATACAGCTTTAATGCGCTTTTGAGAAAAAGACTACATAAAAGATAATTGAAATTGAAAATTTAGAAAGTTAAAGTTAAAAAGTTACAAATTCAACATACTTAACGGTTTTTATTTTTATAAAAGTTTAGTTGTGCGATAATTAACTGTTACTAATAACATTTTAGTAGATACGAAAAACTAAACTAATATTTTCTACGTGGTAAAGGGCATCTCGAGATAGCACTGAATCATATGTTTTAGTTATTTCGTATATTGCAAGCTAAACACAGCTAATTAAAAATGTGTAGTAATTAAAAGCACTGTCAAATGTCGTATTACGTGGCGAGTCTATAATACATTTCGACACTTTTAAGCTAATTGATTTAAATGTTTGTTATTTGTATTGATATTTAATTTTTGAATATTACAATTACTTCAACATTTATTAAATTATAGAGTGCCGCTTAGAATAAATAATGTTTATGCTATACTAGACGACCCAGTTTGCAGCTCGGAAATGGTCTTTCGGATGCACTGTACAATACAAAGCAATACCACACAACAACCAACCTTCCCCCCTTTATAAACCTTTGGTTTTAGACCAGAATTTCCTCCCAGTTCCCCCAGGACAATGATTTACGACGTCCATCCAGAAAAAGGATAGGAGGGAAATGGGGGTCGCGGCAACAGGAAAGTCGAGTTTTGTGGATGCTTGCAAAACTGGGTGAGTTTTGCTTAATGGTAACTTTCATTAAATATCAAATTTGCACACTATTACGAGAAATGATAACCAAATGTTTTTTTTTAAAAATCACCTCATAACATTATAAAATACCAAAACCGATTTATTGTCGTCAAAATTTAAGTTTGAAAAAACAATGTTTATTATTTAATTTTCATTTTATAAAAGAAAAAATATCCTTGTTTTTTTTCAGACATAAGAAATTACATTTTGTGGTCCCAATCATCATCAGTCGGTTGTATTGTAGAACACAAACCAATTTTCCACAACTGCCATCCCACCTGTTATAAGCCGTTTAACCCTAAATAAATCCCCTTTTCTAGACCCGAACTGCCACTTATTCCCTTTTGTGTATCAATTTATGACGCCAAAGGGAAAAGTAAGGGGGCCGGGCCATAAGGAAATCGAGTTTGTGGACGACTGCAAGAGGTCGGTGGGGGGGGGGGGTGGGTGGGGGTGGGGGGGGGGGGGGGTGGTTGAGGTAGTGGTAACTTCCACTCATCAAATATAAAATTCTCAAAGTATAGAAAATAAACAATCCAAAAAATAAATTAAAAAAAAACCCACTAAAGTAATTAACGTAATTCCCAAACAAATTTTTAATAATTTAGTTAAGCCCAGTTATTTGTTTGCTATATATTGATATATTCATTAACTTATGTATTACAAGAATTTAATTTAGAGAATAAAATAATGTTAACTAGGTGCAAAAATTGAGTGGTAGGTTAACTTCTGTAAAATGAATTCAGTATATTTTAAAGTCCGCTTTGTATATAATCTTCATTACGTAATAGCATTGTTCTTATAATTGTCTGTCCTAATTGCTTTTGGCATCAGAACGACGAAAAAGAGACTTTAATCCATCTACTACAATTGGCATCAGGTGCTCTACAAAGAGATTGCTGATTGCAGCACCAACACTTTTGACCATCTCCCACGTCTGGTTGTTCCTGACCTCTGTGTACTCCTGCTCCAGTTTCTGGGACTCTGACTTTAGGCCGGTCACCATCGATTCCATCCTACACCTGTACTCCTGCTGTTCCATTTCCATCTGTTTGATTTTATGCTCCAGTTCTAGGCGATGTTCCTCGTCAAGTTCCCTTTGTCGCTGTTCCCTTTCAATTTTCATCCTCTCCATCTCTGCCGCTTGCTGTTTCCGTTTCTCGTTGAGTTCTACGGCGGTCTTGGTGTTGGTGATTTGGTCCTCCACACAGCTCACAATGTGTCTGGCATTTTGAATCAAAGCGCTTAGAGCACCGGTTCCTTTGTCGTTTTCCTGGATAGATTTGAGCAAGACATCAGCGCGTTTCTTCAGCTCATGCAGGTCTGCCAGCTGTTTCTCTGGCTCGTCAAGCTGGATCTTTGCCAGCTGTTGGATGATGAGGCTCGTCTCTCTCATACTGTCTTCACGGATCATGGGTAGCTTAGACTCTACAAGAAGGCGATTTCGGGTGTCTTTAGCCATTCTAAAGTGCTGGTCTGAATACCGTGTACCAAGGGTTCTTAACTCATCAACCATTTGGATAAGGATACTCTGCTGGTAATTCAACTTGTTTTCATCTTTTGTCTTGTTATCAAACAGGACAACCCTGTGTCCACATTCCTTGACCAGTTCTCTGAACACCCCAGTCTGCAGGCGCCACCACTCGTCAAAAGAATTTGTTTCTGTTTCTTCAGGATCGAAAAGGTCTCCACACGTCACCACCAGGATACAAAACTTGGACACAAAGTCTTCACCAAAGCAAGCCTTCAGTACACGGATGGTCTGCATGTCCTCCTCTGTGAACCTACCCCCAAACCGGACAACCAGCAGAAAAGCGTGGTAGCCCTCTGGGTTGGCCGCGATAGCAAATTTCATGGTGTCCAGAACAAGCTTGACGCCGTTTTCTTGGCTGAGGTCAGTGTCCCCAACACCAGGCCCGTCTACCACCTTGATGACACGACCGTTAAAGTTGGAATAATCAATTTGAATGTGTTTTGTAACAGAACTCGAGCTTGGGACCGATCTGAACACTTTACGTCGCAGTATCGTGTTTCCTGTTGCACTTTTACCGTTTCCAGTTTTCCCAATTAGAAGTAGATCAATGTTGTTTTGTGACATTCTCGATGAGGCCATCATTTATCCTGTGGATACACACGTAAAATGGGAATCATAAGCCGCAAAAGTGAAAATCAAAATTTCGAGTGCAAATCATTTTAAAACCCATTGTTGATGATTGAAATGATTATTGTGATCATACAGATTATTAGGATTATTATGATTCGATGAATGTGGTGATTACTGTGATTATAGTGATTATAATGATTATATTTATACAAGCTTTTATTTAACTTGCTTCCCCTGTTGTGCTTTTGTCTATCTTGTCTGTCGTCATAGATCAAACGGGCAAGCGAAATTTCAAGCACTTCTAACCGACCAATTTCCCTATAATTCGGCACGTGGGTCAAGACTAGATGACAATGCAATATGACGTTAAATTGACTAAATAGGATAACCGATTAATTTTTTATGAACTAATAGTCCTTGCATATGACAATATATATATTTTTTAGTTTATAAAATTTTAGAACTCCAGAAAAGGATTTTTTTTTTCAAGATGGCCGCCGTTGCCATGGCAACCATATTTTCAATAGAGCATCCGATGCATGGAAATATTTTCCTTTAAGTACCCTAACTTAGATATACACAAATAAATAAATAAAACATTTTAATTAAGACGTTTTTTTTTTTCTGGAGCCTACCCCCTTAAACAAATAGACTTCTCTGGACCTGGTGTAGAGTGTCTAAAATATTGATTTTTGTTGTGCACTCAATCAATGAATAGCCATTATTTAAAATAACAGAGGTAGGCTAAGTAAGAAATTAGTTTTTGTTGTTAGTATAGATGACAGACCGTTTTCTATTAGTTTCCTATAACGTTTCACTAGATACCACATATATTAGTCTTTAAGTTACAACTAATTGTAGACAATTTTAAAACATTAAGTTAGCAAACAAAAACGGATGGTGTTGTTATATTTTCAAGGTAAAATAAACTTAAAGTTACCTTTATATTGAAATGTAAGACACAGCAAGCTTGAAACAGGTTATGCAGTCTGCACCAATGGGAACTAAACTGACACACTACACAAGGGAAGCCACTTGTCACCATGCAGCCAACCAAACCTTTCCCGTCCCGCGTACACGACAAAACAGTTACCTATTCAGCCAGACAAATGCCTCTTTAAAATATTTGTTAGAACATTTCGCAATATTTTTATTGTTCCTTACATCCATACGATTATAAAACTAAACAAAACAAAATCAAAAACGCAATGAGAAGAAAATAAAGCATCAAATATAACCTCAACAGCACATTAGTAAACATGAATTGCAAGCAATGGATAACATTTAATAGTTTTCAAAATATTTCGTAAATAATTGATGATTTATGTGACGGGGTGGCCTAACGGTAGAGCGCTAGGCTAAAAACCTGAAAGTCTCAATTCGTTTTCGGGGTTAAAAAAAAAAGAACATCCATAAGTCCATCCACCTCTGAAGGGTAGGGCCTACATAACTCATGTTGCGGAAAGTAAGGCGTCAGGGCAAATTGTTGACTACACTATCCCTTGATATGCCGAGGCCACAGAAAAAAGTGAACTCTACTTCTTTTGGCTCATGAAACCTCAGGTTCGAAAACGGAACTTGTGGATTGAAAAATGTTATTATTTGTTAAAAACACTCTTTATTAATATTTAATTTGTTTCTTTATGTCAAACGTATTAGTCATGTCGCTTTAAATATCTAGTAGATTACAAAATCAAATACCTGATAGAATAATTTGTTGGTTTACTATCAGGTTGTAACTAAAAACTTACGGAAAACAAATTATAATGGATTAAAGTTTTGTCATAAATGAAATATTTTAAATTAAACACAAAAGACATTGTCAGGGATTATATTAATTTAAAAAAAAGGCTGAAACGTTTTACACTGTAACGCCTGTTGAATTCAACAGTTAAATAGGTCAAGAGACTATTAATAGATTTCCAAGAAAACGAAGCTCCAAGTATAAACGACAGGTTAGGCGAGAGATAACTCTGTAATACTCGCAGCTACTCTCACAACAACCGTAGCAGAACCACGTAAGTAAAACTGTTCAAACATAAAATTTTGAAAAATAATTTATGAATTAAATATATTTAATAAAATCTAGGTACACATTTAGTAATTGTTTACACACACACACACACACACACACATATATATATATATATATATATATATATATATATATATATATATATATATATATATATATATATATATATTACAAATGTGTTTCCTTTTTAATATTTGTATCATATTTTTTAAACCACAATGTATTATTATAGTATCAATAATTAATATTTATTTTTTTAAATCTTCGTCATCAAGCTATTCACGATATTTAGTGATATTCCTGGAGGCTATAGCTTAAAATTAATTTGTATTGAGGTATAGCAAAACATGTGTTTCTTCAATCAAAAGTTTTAGAGTAAGCTGTTAAAAGTTTTTTTTTTTTTTAATTTAAGGTACAGTTTATTTTTAAATGGCGTCAGCAAATGTAAGTGACATTGTTATTTTACTCACTGGAAAATCTGGCAACGGTAAAAGTGCAACTGGCAATGCCATTTTAGGTAGAAAATTCTTCCGTGGGATGTCGTGCACAACCGAGACCAAGAGCAAACTAATGTGCGAGAGCACGACCGTTAATGGGGCACGAGTTACAGTTGTCGATGGCCTTGACCTACCCAAAAGCCTTGTGAGCTGTGATTGGTCTGATGAGGACAAGGTGTTTGAGATGACACAAGGCTTTAACGCTCTGGTCATTGTGTTCAAGTACGGGAACAGGTTGAGCCAAGATGACACCAACGTGATACAGGCTGCTAAAGAAATATTTGGACCAAACGTGTTACGAGATTTTGGAATCATTTTGTTTACCCATGGAAATGCTTTTGAATTGGACGCCGAAGAAAATCAATCTTTTGATGATTGGCTTCAAGTCCAAACTGGGATGTTGAGACAGCTCTACTATGAATGTAACAAGAGGTCTGTGTTGTTTGACAATACGGATAAATCCAAATTCTCAACTCAACTTGATAAGTTAATTAAACATGCAAGTACGACGAAATATTCGATGCAAGAGTACCAGCAAACGATGGCAAAACGTGAAGCACTCAAGTGTGAACAAGAACTCAAGGGTGTGACAAAGAAAAAACTTTCGGACATTAGGAAACAGCTGGAGCGTATCGACAAAACAGGGGATGTGTCCAGAGAAATGATTGAGTTGTCCGATATTGAACACGGTTTGAGAGATCACGCGAAGTTATTGTCGGAAAAACTCGGACACCATTCCACCACTTCAGAGTTTTTGAGAACAGAAGTCGATGTATTACTGCAAGAGATCGTATCAAGAAAAAGAAAATTGGAAATTAAGGACTCACCTGTCATGCGCAAAACTTTAGAAGGAGTTAAATCTATAAACAAACCCAATGAAAACAAAGACAATTTTAAAGTAGACGACATTATCAAAACCATGAATGGAATCATTGATGATACTTACGCTAACACATTGCTGGAGCTTGAACATCTGAAGCGGACGTGCCCGAGTGAGAAAAGCAACGCGTATATTTGTGAAGCTATAGAGATGATTCAAAAGAAACGGGGTCAACACAGAGAGTTGGAAACTGTATCTGATTCTACACAGCAGACCGTAAAACCGATGAAAGACGCAGCTCTTTTGTGTCAATCTGAGAAAACGCATTTCATGTTGAAAGAGGAAAAAGAGGTAGGTGCTCTTTAAATATCATGGGCAATTGATTTTAAATTAATGAAATTAGAAGTGTTTTTCATGTTGTATTAGCGAAATGAAAGTATCTAATATAAAACATATTAATAAAATTTTGCTATTGCTTTTTGTCGTTTTTCAGTTTCGTGCTTACAGAGCTATCAGCAACAATGTAAACTTGCTTTTGTTCGGTGAAATCGGCAGTGGCAAAAGTGCAACAGGCAACACTATAATCGGGGGACGTGTTTTTAAATCTTCACCAAGCACGAGACCAGTTACCACTGAGGTAACAAAAGCTGTGAAAATAATTGAGGAAAAAACAATTACAGTTATAGATTGCCCAGGCCTAGAGATATCAACTAAACTTTCTCACAGAAATGTTGAAGCTTTAATTGAAATTGTGCAAAGAGCCATAGATATAAGTAGCTATAGCATTTCGGGAATTTTGATAATTATGAAATACGGAGATAGATGCAAACAACATGTGTTATATACTATTGAAATTTTGAAAGCTATTTTAGGCCCAGAAGTTTTGAGGAAGCTTGGCGTGTGTGTCGTGACACATGGAGATCAGTTTGAATCACAAACAATGGAGGAATCTGGAGGCACCAAGAACTTCGAAGAATGGTGTAGGAATCAAACTGGAGAGATGGCTTCGATTTTCAGAGAATGCGAGTTCAGATGTGTTCTCTTCAACAATAAAACTAAGGATGAAGGGACTAAACATAAACAAGTTGAAAAACTATTGTCTTTTATGAAAGTTGAGTTAAAAATATCGAAAGATGATTTCTTGTCTACGGACAAGAATCGGATGCAAAAGCTGATTGATTGCGTTCTACCTACAATCAAGACAAGAACAGAGAATTTTATAACAACCGTTCGAACAAGATTGATCAGTGTAAAATCATCCACAGGCTCCAATCACCCTCTGGACATTTCAGAAATAGAGTTACAAATGAAGATAATCGAAGATTTAAAGAATGACCTACGACAAATAAGTGCATATACAACCTCGGTTAATGACTTAGTAGGTAGCATCAGCACTTTAGAAAAAGAAATGAAGAGGCAAGTAAAAAGCCTTCACGTAAACATCGGAAAAACTACGTACATGCAAAGGTCTCAGTCCATGTACGAACCACGTGAAAAAATGAAATATCCGATGCTTTCAAAGAAACCCCGTATCTTCGACAAGTCGACCCTTCCAGAATCTTCCTGTCGTCAGAAAAACCATTATAGCAAACTGCCAACTACAGATACAAGCAAGGACATAGCAGCAGCCTGCTCACAAGGCAACTTATTCAAAGAATTCATTGAAATTATAAAGCCCTTTTTTAGTTTCGGGAACTAAAGCTTTGAGATCATTCGAAAACAAATTCCAAATCTGTACTCGATTGAGTGATAATTATTTTTTAACACATTTAAAAACCATGTTAAAAAACACAGACACACACACATACACATTATTTGCACATTGTATTAAAAATATGAAACTCAAGAATAAAAGAAATATTCGAGTAACAATGCAAACCTGGTGCAGCCTAAATCAATGGCGGTGTGTTTATAATGTTTATAATTTCTACGTCATATTATGTATGATCTCTTGCTAGTTTTTTCACTAAAAATATATTTGTAAAGAACAAGGATGAGGAGGAGAAATAAGACAAAATTAACTAATATATATACATTTTAATTCTATCCGCTGTAACGTGTCACTTAGGTTTTATCATTGATTTTTAAACATTGTCTGTAAGACGAATGAGAATAAACATTGTATTAATAATTGCTTGCTTTGTGTTTTATATAATTTTGCATTTTTAATAAATATGTAGTACATTTATATTCTATAATCTCTCGAATTACATCCAATTTCTTGTTTTATAATAAACGTTAAACAGCTAAAACCCATTTTTTGTTTTGTGGATTTCCTATATTTTTTTACAGTTATATACATATACTATGTGCAAACATATCTCCAAGAAGATGTTGCAGTAGTGTTGATACAGTAAATTTTAGACAGTTAAAAATGTAAAGTGTGGAGGGGCACATGTTTGCCTTAATTTTTGTATTACAGTTTTATTTAATAACAGAAATGCAGTTTTTGAGAAACAGTTATAAGAAAATACTTACAGAGTTGAAGATAAAACCAACATATTACAAAACATGTTAAAATTAATTTGTGTTTTAATATATATTTTTGCTCCCTTCAATAACAACCTGATTTTTATATTGGAAAATGTGACATTTTTCATAGTTAAGACAACTTTTTCATTAAGTTAGCGCTTTAATAATAAACTCACCTAGGGCGACAAAAATTCAACCAAACTTACATTCTCTTCTATTAAACCAGAGAATACAATAATACATTAATGCTTAGTGTTCCCTATTGACTTGTTTCTATTGTAAAAGCACACCAATCTAAAAGTATTGAGACAATTGGTTGCATAATTTTTAAATTATTGACGGTCTCGTTCACGGAACTTTGCTTTGGATGAGATAATTAATTGGATATTTTAACCGCGCAACTGGAATATAAACATTGATAATACATTAAATTAGCTAAGAATAGCATGTTTAAGTTTCCAGATAACTTTGAAGTAGGCTTCTAGGCGTCGTCTGTATCTGATAATTTGCAGAGGATAAAAAATTGATCGTGACTTACCACCAGCTAAAATATACATATATTGAAACAAAAAAAAAACAACTTTATCTACAAAGCGTTATAAAGTAGTGCTGTCATAGATGACACCCTCAAACATCAGAACAAAAACAACTGTCAATGGCTCCAACGTTGGTCAAACTGAACCAAGGTGACATTGATCTAATTTCTAGGAAAGGAGGCAAATTTTCCATAGTGTTGAGAGTAGTGGCGTAGACAAGCAGGTGTACGCAACAAATTTACGCTTTTGAAATCGTCGTGAAATATATTGAGGATATTGAAACAGATAAGAGGAACGGTCACTAGTTATATATCTTCCATATAAATTATATATTTTTCTATTTCGTTCGTGGTTGGGGTGACTTGTGCCGGGAGGTGGGGAGAGCAAATTTTACCCAACCATCACCACGGTGAGATGTTACTAGAAGAAACACAGCTGGCACGGTTCTCCCTGCTATGTTCACGTTTTATTAAAACAATAAAAGATTTCTTCCGTGCAGCTTTAAATAAAAGATTAAATTAAAGGCAGACTAAAATATTTTGTAATTTTTATTTCAATAAAAATATTGCACATAAAGTATGTCACGCAGGTGTTCTGTTCAGTCATCCGTGTCAAGACTTTGAGAAAGCAACATGACATAAAAACATGTTGATGTGTATTTGTCACAATGACTTGCATAACATAATTCCAAGAAAATTACATTTCTTAGAGCCAGACTTAGAACGCTGCTTTTTTTCAAGAAAAGTTTACAACTGCAGATGCCAAGTATATTGCATTTAAAAGGCTGTTTCATTTATTGTTTGTTTTTTATGTTTTAAAAATATTTTTCTTGAAAATGAATGCACGTTTTTTATTTTGTTCGTCGTTCGTAATATTGGAAGGGATTTCCCACAACAATATTAAGTATAACTTTTCAAAATTGTATTTGCCATATAACCCCGTTGACTCCGATTTCAGCCCATTTTTTTAAATTTTTGTTGTTTTTTTTTTTTTTGGATTTTCTACTATAGCCTTTTTCTATCCAAGAAAAAAACAACCGTTTGATTTGGAGTTTTTTCTCCTAGATGGGTTCCTGTGTTGAGCCTAGTCTGCCCGAGGGCTCGAACTCGTTACTTTTAGTTAGCAAGCATTAGAATTATCGGCCCGACCACGCCGATCCCCAAATGCAAGTTTAATATGATGGTAATTTGCTTAGTAACCCTCAATCTAATTATATTTAATAAGCTACGTAAGTAGGCCCCCTATTCCTTCACATTACAAAAAAATAATTCAGGACACCCTTGGACTGAATCCAAAATGACCACTAGTCCCTCATCATTGAGTATATAACATTACTAAATGTAATATATTTTCTACTTTACTCATAATAATGATTATCAAAGTAATGCAAAAATGAAATACAATATAACCTGATAACATATATTAATAAAATAAAAATAAAACTAACTATACCTCATTACGTAATATATGCAGTATAATGCAAAACAAAAGCAGTTTAGTATCATTATAATTAGATGACTCAATACATCTTCTCTAAGCAAGCATATAATATATCAATATATATATATATATATATATATATATATATATATATATATATATATATATATATATATATATATATATATATATATATATATATACAGAGAGAGAGTGTGAGAGAGGTAGAGAGAGAGATAGATAGAAAAAAACTGAAGTTGACAGATAAACAAATTTTCCAGAAAAAATACCAGGAAATTATGTTAGCAAAAGAGACAAGAGAAAAAAAAATGAAAAATTTTGAAGCTGACAGATAAACAATTTCTTTTCTAGGAAAATACCGAGGAATTTTGTTACCTAACTTTCTTTAGAATGTTAGTCATCAATTACGGCCAGGAAAGGAAGGTAATTAAAATCGCAAGGTCACTTGTGATTTCAAAAGATCACCTTGACCCCGAAAATGTACGTTATCTACCTCAGGTAAACAGCAAATGAAGGCGCTACGTTTTTCTGCTGCAAGGATATCACACAAAAGCTTCAAACATTTCTTTAAAATGTCTAGACATTATGCTTTTGTTGAGACTTTTAGATTCTAGCCATATCAATCAAAAATCTAAAAAAAAAATCTGAAGCAGAAAGGACTCGAAAATTTTTATTTCAAAACGAAATCTTGTCGAATAAATGCACAAACACACTGTACGGTGTAGTATTACATACCATTTTCATTTATACTTATATATATATATATATTATATAAAATGTATTATTTTTATCATATATTCGTCGACAGCCGTTCGTATACATCATTTGCACGTAAAGAAATTCATTTCAAGCAGTCTTTGAAAACAGCTTATTAAACAGCAAAATTATTAATATACACGTACCAAAAAAACTTGCACACGGAATTTTAAACATAGGTAGCAGGGCGTGTATTTTTTGATTTAATTAAGCAAATAATGATTTGTCCATTCTATTTAATTATGGACTAGCTTCATAGCCATTCTAAAGAACATATTATAATTATCAAAATGTGTAAGTGCGTATATGTGTGCATATGTGTAGTCTATAAATATAATGTGTGTGTGTGAGAGGGTTATGTGGTATAGCGGTGTAACACCACAGATATATTTTTATTTAAAGGGTCTGTTGACACTTATTATCGTAGTAAGATTCAACACAGTCAATTACCTGCCCAGGTATTTCCTCTCCCCACTCCGTGACATAACCCCACAATTAACTTTTTTAATTAGAACGATACCCCGGGCGATAATTATCCTCCCACCTTTTTTCACTAAAATCCTAGCTTTTTAAATCACTTCTATGGTAGGTTTCAGCGGCGAATCTGTTAAAATTATTGCACCAAAAACGTGGTTGGCAATATGTGAATAATGCTATATTTCTATTTTAACTCTATTGCAATAGTGACTCATAACAAGAACCACCGCCAAAACCACACCCATAATCACTTCACCTACGCCTACGCTTACGCCTACGCCTATACCGTAATGTACATCTTAACTTCTACTGTATTTTTGCAGCAACCTCCCCCCCCCCCAAAAAAAAAACCCAACTAAAACCGCCATGGTTATAACTGAAACTACATCTCGAAGCGAAGAACTTATTTTCTAACATTAAAAACGGCTATGGGAAATCCCCAGAAAAGGAATGTGTTTTCAGGAAATCTATGCCTGAATATAATATAAAATAAAATATCGTTCGCCAATGTTAAACACAACTACTAATAAGTCCACGCAAACAGGTAACAGATGTGTTTTAAAAAAAATTCTTTTTTTTACATAGGAACATGTATGTAGAATCAAATATTGTATAAGTAGGCGTATATATGTTATATGTTATATATATATATATATATATATATATATATATATATATATATATATATATATATATTGAGAGAAAGAAAGAAAAAGCGAGAGAGAAACATGTTAGCTATCAATGTTGAAATGTGTGCGTTTTTTTTATTTACTAGCTATTTATTATAGCAGCCTATAACACCATTCTATTAAAAAGTAATTAAAACACCATTGGTTTAGGTTTCAGTAATTGGCCTAAGTGTTAAGTTTAATTTATTTTACAAGCTCTAGAACATAGAATAAGTTAATGTTTGCTTAAATTTACCTTAAATTGTTTTTTTTGTTATTTCAAGCATACCACAATGGCAGTCTATCTGTCTTGGGAAACTTTGGTAAGTGTATTTTTTAAATGTTTAAAGTCTGTACTGTAGGGTTTTTTAATTGGAGTAAATATTTTAAGTTGCAGAATTTAAAAAAAAAATATGTTTAACTATCGCGCACACGAACACGCAATCGCATTATATATTATTTTAATCTTTGTTCTTTTGTACGTGTATACATTGTACTTTTTATTACTTTAATGTATTTGGAAAAATGTGATTTTCTAAACGATATAGTATCATGTGATGCCATAGAACTTGTAATATTATATTATAATATTACGACTCATAATTTTCAGGGGAAACGAAACCTCGATCTTCTACTCATCGGTAAAACCGGAAACGGAAAAAGTGCACTAGGTAATCATATTATCGGTCGAAAAACGTTTAAATCAACGGCTAGTACCACCTCTGTGACCCAGCTAATAAAACACGATTTCGTGTTTTACAAAGGTAGAAACATCAAGATTGTTGACACACCTGGAGTCTGCGATACCGGACTCAACGAGAAGAAAGACCAGGAAAAAGTAACACAAGCGCTGCTGGAGCAATTCGGTGATGCTGTAAAACTACACCCGAAAGGCTACCATGCATTTATTTTGGTGGTTAAATTCGGAGGGAGGTTCACTGAAGAAGACGTAAACTCGGTCAAGTTTTTAAAAAAAACTTTTGGAAAAGATTTTGTCCGAAATTTTTGCATCCTCGTTTTGACCTGCGGCGATCAATTTGATAATTTTGCAAGTGAAGAAAAAACAACATTTAAAGACTGGTGGAAAGAACAGGATGGGATCTTCAGGTTCCTCATTGAGGAGTGTGGCGAGAGAATTGTTCTGTTTGATAACACAACAAAAGATCGAAAGAAGAGAGAAAAACAGATGGATGAGTTGATAGTCTTTGTGGATAGTTTGAGAGAGAAAGGGCGGAGGTATAATGAAAAGTATTTCGATAGAGCTGTGAAGTCTAGAGAAAAGCTGATTGTTGAGAGCCGGGTGGCAGTTGTTGAAGAGGACACACAGAGACAGACAAGCTACATTCTGCAAATACTAAACGAAATAAGTTCTTTGGATCCTGAGGAAAAAATTCCGCAATTGAAACTACTGCACCAACAATCGAAAAATCTATTTGATTTTATCAAGCAACAAGATGAAGGAACAGGTAAACTTCAGAAATATTTGGAAACGGTCCAATGTCTACAGCACACTATTGAACTGGACTTAAATAGTTCTGAAAAAGTAGCAGAATCTAAGGCGCTGTTCGAAATGGAGAACCTGGCAATAGAAACTCAAAACAAAGCACAATTGAAGTTAATTGAAGAGAACAAAAAGCGGGCTGCCGAGGAGTACAAGCTAAAGCTGGAGCAGGAGAGACAACTGCGAGAGAAAGCTGAACAGCTGTACCTGGCTGAACGGGATCGGATGGTGGCTGTAGAATCTAAAGCTAACGCCGATTCTAGCTGGTGCACTATTTCTTAAACTTCTCAGACTTAACTTTGTGGGCATACTGATATACAACTAAACATAAATATCATTTAAATATCAGCCTTATTATGTTTCATATTGCATAATATGCTTTATATATGATTACAGCTGATTTGGCTTATTATGTAACAAACAAATAAACATGTTCTGTCATTTTTCCCTATTGATTAGTTTAATCTCTAGTAAAAACAAAAACATCAACAAATGTAAACAAGAGTTATGAGCTAGTAGTATTTCTAATTGGATCCAATTATTAAGTACACAATATGTCTGAAAAGCAAAACTATTTTTTTTATTGTTTATTATTTTAAAATCTTTTAAACGTAGATGTAGATATATTTTAAATTTGATACTATAAAAAACCATTAATTTTCAAGTGTAGGCCTTTATTATTTTCTTTATATTTTAGAAGAAGAATTCAGTATATAAATGTATGCAACTCTGATTTCTTATTTATAATAACATGTTATATTTACGGTGTAGCATCGTTCTATTGTGTATTTAGCCAGTTAAATTTTCACAGATCATATTCCATGTCGCATCAGTTAAGTAGTTAAAAAAAACTTTTTATTTACTCCAAGCGAGTTTAACACCAACATGTTTTACTGTCATCACAGAAGGATCTCAATGTTATACTAGACAGCTCAAGGGTGGGGGGGGGGGGAGCTTTCCTCTGCAGTTTCTAGAAATCATTACATTATTCAGTATCATAGTTGCCTACTCAATTAAATGAATATCGTTTACATCCTAAATAAAAAATGTATATGCCAAGTTATTTACTATATTATATTTATTAAAAATAAAATGACATTATGTTTGTTGCACATATTTTTGTAATCAAAGATTATATTGCAATGTAGTACTCTAATCACAATATGCTGCTTTTCTAGAATGATATAAAATAAACTTTATTAAACCCGTATTATAAGACTTGTCTTGTATGTTAATGAAGCGAAGATTAAGGTTAGTAATCAGACATTGTTTGAAAGTAAAACAAATTAATATAGCGGATTACAGCCTTCAACAGATCACTGAGTTAATTATTATTATTGCAAGAAACAATATCACAGCATATACACAACACGAGCTAACGACAGCTTTTAATTAATTTTTTTCTCGCATGTGAAATAATAATTATTTTCACAGAGTATTAAATCAACAAATTTAATGGAAGAGAATATCAAAAGTTTGCACTATACACAGGATCCAATTACGACACGTCGCAACATACACCATTCATTCAAGCATACATCCTACATCACTATTTCACAAAACACAACCCACACCTCACACTACTAATCAGTTAACCCCAAAATCCACACCCACTCACCCATTCCACAACATAAACATTCACCTTACCCACACCACACACATCCCAACTCACAATTAACTAACACAATACATAGAGTAGACCTAAACCCATAAGAACCCCACCCTACGCGAAATCATAAAGTACACCCATACAGAGAACAAACCAAAAGGCCCTACCTACAACAGTACCGTACCCCCCCCCCCCCCACCCAGAACAAACCAAACATAGCCCCTACCTACATGCCTCAAACAGTACCGTACCCCTCACACACCCTCGATTAACAACAATCGCCACCAAGGAGTCACCAATTTGACAACCTACATCATTTATATCACAAATGCCCACCGACCGACACCCCATTACCCTACATTACACAACCCATACCTCACCCCAATATCCCACATTACACAAACCACACCTCACCCACTACCCCACATTACAAAACCCTCAACCTACATCTCACCCCAATATCCCATATTTAACAACACACCTCACCCTACTATCCCACATTACACAACACACACCTCACCCCACTACCCCACATTACATAACCCACACCTCACCCCACTACCCCACATTACATGACCCACACCTCACCCCACTACCCCACATTACATGACCCACACCTCACCCCACAACCCCACATTACACAACCAATATCTCACCCCACTATCCACACAAATCACACCCAATCACACATCCCACATTATTCACACCATTGCATATATACTTCTCCCAAAACATTGTTGTCATCAAATTAACTGAATGCTGTTGTATGACTCCAGTTGTTATATTCTCATTATAATCGCTTGTTCATTTTTAGTATTATTAATGTTTTTGTTTTAAAGAATACATGTATTACGAGTGGGTCATGGTATTTAAAAAATATTCAACATGTAAGAAGTGTTTTACTACCATTTATAGGTAAGCCGCTGGGCTTCATGCTATAAAACGCCACAGTTCTAACTTAAACGATGACAAAACAAAACCACGTACACTGGTACACTTATTTATTCATGGAGTAGATCCACGACAAACAAATATGCTTTCAGTATCAACACCCTAACGCCCGCTTCTTCTTAACAGAAAAAAAACAAGGCTTTATTTCTCTGTAACTAAGACACAGACTCAAAATTAATGATTTTCAACCTAGACGAAACTAACCTTCTATTCTGACCACTTAAACGAGAATTTGTCATTTGAGGACCAAGACCTTCCCGGGGTACGTCCACTTTAGATCAGAAAACAAAGACTAATTAAAACAGATAGGCCTACTCCCCTTGTTGACTACGAAACGAAATACACCCCCCCCCAACGAGCCATTGTTTGTCACACATACGACAATATATCAATAATCAAACAATCACATAGGCCTACACAAATAAAATACTTCTTTCACTTCCGGACATAGATACTTGTTTATTTTGTGAATAAACTACATATGTTGCCTAGAGGCATACATTACTTGACACGTATAGTTAAATTTTCCTTTTGACTTAATTAATGACCTTTAAATCTGTCATAGTGATGTATTAGAAATTATGCACTTTCGAATTAGCAAGTCTAGCATACAAAGCAGATACGCAGCACTTCATCGAAAAGACCAACGAATGACGTTTGTTGTCACAAACCAATATAAGGGGTCGTCCATAAACGACGGACGCCTTTTTTACCCCTGCACTCAGTCAGACCCCCCCCCCCCCCGCCTAAAATTACGTCACACATCAGCATACAACCCCCTTTTAAAATTGCATATGAGTTTTCTTAAAACATCGATATTTTTCCAAAAAATCTTGTCTGAACTCTGTCAAAATAGAGTATTTTAATCAATTAATATTACAATTTATTAAAACAATTTTTCTAAAACGCGAAATTACGGCTAAAATTCATTTTCTAACATTGCTTTTTTATAATGCAAAAGTGTGACGTCACTTCCCCTGACTCCACCTCCCATCCCCCCCCCCCCCCCCCCCGTCCAACATAGAGTATTTTAATCCATTAATATTACAATTTATTAAAACAGTTTTCTAAAACGCAAAATTACGGCTAAAATTCATTTTCTAACAGTCTTATTGTCGTGAACCCAAGCGTCAGAAATTTTGTGATCCCTGGCCAAAAGAACGTTAAGCCGAGGCTTTAATGAATGTTCTGACACTCAGGATTTAAGAAAGAAGAACAAAGGACAGATAAAACACATACAGACACACCAAACAAACATAGAAACACAGACACGCATAACACAAGCATATACAGACACAAGTACAGGCGCACTGAGACACAAACCAGGAAACTAATCACAAATAAATACAAACGTGTCACAAACATATACATATTCAAACAAAATACCCACATAGAAACACACACACACAATGGGAGGGCCACGGTAACATTATCCCACCTTCATGTTGTCAATTTTTGAGGAAAACATCAGCCAAGGGGAAATCCCCTTTTACGAATTCTCTTTTATTAGAAAACTATTTAAATTTTGAATTAGCTAGCTAACGCATAACATCAAGGGCGAGCGACACAAGTCAACGACAGTCTATACGTTTCGTTTACACAACAGTTATAGGTAAATATTTTAGAAATGTATCTTTAACAATTATAAGTATGTAAAATGCAAACGCATACACACATACATATATATATAATATTTATATATAGGCCTATATATATATTTATGTATGTATGTATATATATATATATATATATATATATATATATATATATATATATATATATATATTATGAGTGGATGGATTATTTACTTATATGTTCTTATAGGTATTCTTTATGTGGAGTTATGGATTTATGGGGAATTAAAGCTGTCTTATTCGACCAGCATTTATTTAAAATTTTAATCTTATTTGTATTTTTACCAATCTTAGTGTTGAGGTTGTTTTTTTTCTTGTGTATTTTTATGGGTATTATTAATTTGTATTGTATTAGGAGTTGGTCTTTTTTTCGCTAAAGTGAATAAAAAAAATATAAATGTGAGAGAGTGCAAAATTGATAGTTGAAGATGGTAATATGGTAATTGGCTTTTTGGTCAGCATTATCAGCGATTATATAAAGCAGAATCACATATTCGATACGATGCTTCTTTGTTTAAAGAAAGTAATTTCAATACTTGTATATTTTATGTTTCAGACAATCTAAAGATAGGTGTGTTTAAAAACCAAGACAAGGACAACCGAGAATATATCATTAAAAGGTTTAGTTTTTTGTGTTTTTTTTTCTAGCAGCAAAGACGAAGAAATCACAATTCATAAGATACAAGTTGTTAGACTGTTCAAAATAATGATTGGTGACACGATGCAAATTTCGTTTTAAATGTAGTTTATTATTTAATCAAAAGTAAATTAAAATATATAACTATTAATTTGAAATAGTAAATATTTTTATTTCTGACTTCCTCTGGCTTTGTATTTGTATCTACTACCTCATCTAAAAGTGTTAGCTTTTATTAAAAACAAGTTTGTGTTTATTAAATTATTAATGTCTGGACAGATGGCAACACCAGAACTAAATATCCTTCTCGTTGGTAAAGCTGGAACCGGGAAAAGTGCAACAGCTAACTCCATTCTTGGCTTCAAGGCTTTCAAAACTTCCAGCAGCTTTAGCTCTGTCAGATCGGAGCTTCAAAGTGAATCAGCATCTATTAATAACAGAAAAATCACTGTCGTTGAAGTACCATCCGCCGGAAGTTCTAAGCGCACGGTTGAAGAAGATGCTAGACAAGCCGTTGAGAATCTTCAGGCAGCAATGAGGATGACACCAAAAGGTTATGACGTTGTACTTCTTGTCGTCAGATACGGCGGTCGCTTCACGGAAGAGGACGTCAGTATTCTCAATAATCTAAAGCAAATACTGGGAAGAGATTTTATCAGGGACGTCTGCATTCTTGTTTTAACTGGTGGGGATGATTTTGACCGAGATAATGAAGGCGAGGATCAAACGTTTCCGGAATGGTGCAGTGAACAGATCGGTGGTTTTGCGACCTTAAGTGAGGAGTGCGGTAGAAGAGTTCTGCTGTTCGACAACATGACACAAGACATTGACAAGACAGGAAAACAAAGAGCATCCCTCTTAAAGATGGTAGACAGCCTGTCAAAGCTTGGCGCTAGGTATGATGCGGAGAGCTTCCAGCGAGGTAAAGCTTCAAGAGATGTCTTCATCACTCAAGCAGGATTCCAAAATAACATCCATGATGCCATGAAATTTGTTGGTACCGTTAACGATACCTTAGCATTGCTCAGTAACGACAAAAATAAAGATGGTATTTATAGATTAAGAGATTTGAAAATCCAGGCCGAAAACAAAATAAAACTACTTGCCGAGAAAAATAATGAGACAGGTGTATATGACGACGTGCTGACTATTTTGAGAAACACGGATGGAAAAATTGAAGAGCGAATTAAACAGTTGAAAAACGAAACTGATGATCAACTTCAACATAATAAACTGAACGATGGAGTGGTTCAGGCTATTGACAGAAAACCCACATTGTTGAAAACAGAAAAACAAGCAGAAAATAGAAGAAATACACGCTGGTGGAGTAGAGTACGTAGTTATATTGCAAGAAGTTGCAATATACTTTAACAAATACAATGAGTGTTTTATATTCATGCCAAATGAATAGAAATTAAATATATGCTTAACACAAAAAACACTCAACATGAACATGAATATCCACTTATATATTTAAAGGTAATTATTGAAATAGTTTACCTAGAATACATTTTTTTTTATTCTGCTCAAATATCTCCTACATTTAATCCAGTATTTTTAAGTTACTATTATTTTAAATACAGTGTCAACATTCACCGTAGGCCTAAATGTATTATAGCAATCATATGCAATTACATTTTCATCAGTTTGTACATGATATTACAAATACCGTACAATTTTAAAAACATTTTTTGGCACTATCTAAAATAGCAACAACAAAAACACATCAAAGTTGTAAAAACCAAAAGCTATTCAAAAAGTGCTATAAAATGCTATAAATGTCTACAATCTCGTCTCAAAAAAAAACTAATGGTGAGAATTAAGGGAAGATAAAATATAGTTACTTTTTTTTTAATTCCTTTAGTTATGCACTTATTCTGTTTTTGCATTTGTATCACTGTATAAAAACGAATATGTTCTTTCTTTATTTGTTGAAGCATTTGCAATATTTGATAATTTGTCAAATTAAACAGAGCTGTGTGTCTTTTTAGTCTCAACTATGGGCATGATTGTGCCAGTGTACATTATTGTATCGCAGCAGGTCTTCAAGCACAGTTATTTTACTTTCTTAAACATAGTTAATTTAGACTGTAGCCCAGAGATTTTTTTATTGCCTATAGAGCTTTTCAACCTTATGTGTATCTACCAAAAGAAATACTATTAAAAATATTTACCACTTAACGTTGTGTCTTCCTACTTCTAATAAACAATAAACATACCAGTAGCATTAGTTAGATATAGGAATATGTAATTTTATGAGTTGTAGAGAAGGCATTAGCGCTCGCTATGCCTAAGATTAAAAGTTGTTTTTAAGTTTTAAAATTAAAAACGGTGTGGGGTTTTTTTTTTGTTTCTGAGTAAACTACAAGACTTACGAACATATTGTTTTTTCTTCAAATTATCTCAATTGAACAAACAAACACTAATGTCATTCTCGTTGAAAATAAACACTGATGTCATTCTAGTTGAACATACGTACTAAATGTCATTCTTGCTGGGGATGGCTGAGTGGGTAAAACTTTAACAGGGAAATGAATACATGGGAGGTCCAAATAGAGCTGGTAAGTAGGTCACCAACCAGTTCTACGGCTCAATAATACCTGGATGAGCCATAGAACTGGTTGGTGACCTACTTACCCGCTCTATATACTTGCATGTATCTGTGTTTCTTTTGAAAATATGGTTGCCATGGCAGCGGTGGCCATCTTGAAATAAGAACCTTTTGTGGAAGTCTCAAGATTAAAAACGATCATATATATTGATCATATAATCATCGATCTTTCTTTTACTATTAAAATCAGCTGGCTAATGTTTTTCGAATTTTCTAGAAACGGTATGGTTAATTGCCATTAAAACTAATTGATAACTTTAATGGTGTGTGTGTATGTGTAAGAATGTAAGTGTAGTGATCTATCAGTATGTATAAGTATGTGTATATGTGACTCAGTGTATGTGACTATGTACGTGAGTGTGTGTATTTGAGTGTGCGTATGATTGTTTGTGAATATATATATATATATATATATATATATATATATATATATATATATATATATATATATATATATATATATATATATATATATATATATATATATATATATATATATATATATATATATATATATATATATATACATATACATATATATACAAACATAACTATATAGTATCTAAACCACTGGTCTAATTTTTATTTCACAACTGTCAACACTATGGTACTGATATGTTATAGCATACTAGTTTAAACCTGTACCGTACACCTGACTTGCCCAGATACCGTTTAGGTTGGTACGGTGATAGTTGGCGTACCACCACGCCGCTTGGTAGTAAGCGGCACAGTTTTTTTGAGGAATCCACATCGTTTTCTACGTCATAGGTGCTGAACTTCATGTTGTTAGAAAATGCATGAGAATCACCAACCGTACCAGAGTAGCCACTAAAAGACATCTTATAACCCTGGCTTTCTGAACCAAAGCTAAATGTGGAATAACTGGCGTAATATTTTTTTCCTTTGTAAGACATTTCGAAACGAATCTCGTGGGCATATTTTAAGCCAAGACAGTATGTGTTTTCATTGCCCAGATAGAAATCACCAATGCCGTAATCTCCAAATCCGTTCTTGTACTCCGTCCAGTTTCTGTAGAAGTCGACGATCCCAGTTACACGACGTTGAAAAATTGTCCAGCCCCCTCCATCTGTCACTGTGTCACACATGACGACAAGACCAGACAACAGTTGGACCATTTGTCTTGGTTTTGTGGAGTTCTTCACATCTTTACAGCATCTGTAGACGTCTGGTCTTTGGGATACAAGAACTGATTCATCTCCATAATTGACAAACTCTGTAAAATAATGTAATTTTACTTTCTCGTATATACAAAGAATAGAGAAAGTCTTGTAATTGTGAAAAAAAAAAATCGAGATTTTTGCAAATGTTGACGTTTTACACCTCCATGAGTGGGAAAAACATAGTTTTGCAATCGTGTCCGTATGTCTATGTGTGTGTGTGTATGTGTGTGTAAACACTATTACTTGAGTACCGTTACGGTTACGTTGAGGAAATTTCATTTGTAAGTATGTTATCAAAATCGTAGATCCGTATCAACTTTTGAGCGATTTCCGATAACCGGAAATGGTACTTTTTCTACTTTGAATTTTTCAAAAGCCTAAGTTTCCGATAACGACTTTTTAATAAAGCTGAATTACACTTCTTTTCATTACTCACTTTCCGTAAATATATACATTTTCTTTAGGCATTTCTACCATTTCTTCCCCTTTCACCTCCGAATGAAATTTTAAAAAAGTAATTCATAAAAAAATATAGAAAAACCACTATCCGCTACCCCCAACAACCCCCCCCCCCCCCACACGCCCACACATCCCCACACCCTCCTCCGGACAGTTTTGAAATGCCGTTCCCCGGAGATAAATATCCAAAAGAAAAACCGGGTAGAAGAGATCTAAAATTCACCAGCATTACCCGTGTAACGGGTTACGATGGCTAGTATAATAATACTAACTTTATAATCACGGAGGTGTTATTAATACTGGAAAACGAATATGAAATAAACTGTCTACGGATTGCAAAATTTTCTAAGCAGTCCCCTAAGAGAATCTGGCGTTTGTCAGATGTTTTTCTGTTGTACTCCGCAATATCTCATTTGGCCGCAGCTGTTTTCTTTTTCCCTTGAGGCTTTCAGTTTAGCGCCATTCCTGCTATGCCATCCGGATTTATTTTTAAAACGGGCGTGGTCGAGTCGGTAAAGCTCATGGTAAACCGAAAAGTCACAAATTCGAACTCTCGGGCAGATGAGGCTCGTTAGCTGGAGACAACCACTCTTCTAGGAGAGACAACTCCAAAACCAAACCTTGTTGTTTGTTCTTGGTTGGACAAAGGCTATGGAAGCAAATCGAAAAAAAAATCAGCTTGAAATCGGAGTCAACGGCAGATAATGCTCGATCCCTTTCAACACTAAACATTAAGAACGAAGAAGACAAAGAAGAAAACGGGCCCATCCAGCACTTCGACTTGATTTTAAAGGACAATTTTTGAAATTCTTCATATCAAGGCCTATTTGTGGTTCAACTATATTTACATTCACATCTAACAAAGACGATTGGTGCGCCTGGTACATGTTGGCGATCGTTCGTTGTTGTGAACCCTTGGTTCAAATAAAGGCGTATTTTTATATAAGTAGTTTTGAGACTATTCTATTGTAAAACTTAAGATTTACGTCAACTTTGAGAAGGCTAATAGTGCTTTCAGGTTTTCAAAAAGATTTTTTTATTGAGTCACATCAATTGAATTTTATGTGGCTTGTTGGCCACGTTCAGTGATCCGTTATAAAAAAACAAAATCGCTCATTTGAGCCTTTCAATCATGTAGGCCTACGCTACAGCTTTATGTCCTACAATGTGAAAAAATCCCATTAATTATTCCCATACACGATATATTGCATCAGGTGTACAATGATTAACTCTTTCCTATTAGACATATTAATGAGCTGAATAATGCTTCTTGTAAACGTGTAGAGGAAAGATGGCGGGTGGAAGCACGATGTTAAATAGTTAAATAGGAATGGTTTAGAAATAACTCGACAGCAGGAAAACTAGCAGTGTTAAAATGGTTTCATATTTCAGGTATCTTTCAACAAATAATCGTGCCTATTTTAGTTTCATATTCGTCACAAAAGGGAAAAAAATCTTAGAAAAAGGATTTCTAGGCAAATTACGAAATACAAAAGATGATTCCTTACATTTCACGCATTGCCTGTAACGAACTCGATCAAAACAATGACTGCTTTCTACCTTTGTCGCCACAATCAGCTATAATAATTTTGATTTTTTTAAAAAAATTAACTGAAGCATAAGCTTCGACTTTATTGTTTTTCTCAAACACTTGTTTTTTACATGAACAAATCGCTTTATGAATTAATTGATTTTCTTTTTTAATTTAAGTTAGGACGAAGAAAATTAAATAAAAAGAAAAGAGTATTGAAGCCTTCTTATCAAACTACTACATTGTGTGCGACATTATTCTGTCTGCTACTCACTACATTCTTTTTGTTTAATTAATTTAATTTAATCAATTTAGAATTAAAACTGAGTATTTTAGTCTCATGTAGAAAAATGTTTAAAATGTGTAAACTGAAATGTAATTACTATTTGTTTCAAAAGTATTAATTGATATGCCTTTAACCAATATCATTCAAACGTAAAGTAGTTGAGTGATTTATTTAAAAGAAAAGCTTGTGTTATTGAAAGTGAACTATGCACGTCAGTCCAATTCCTCTCGAGTAAGTTCAGCGATCCGTGAAGAATAAATGATGCATTGGCTGCTATTTGCATCGGGTTTGGATAAAAGAAATTTTTTATACGAAACTGTATGAAAAGACTTCTGATCTCTAGTTGATAGCAATTACTAGTGAGTGGTAAGGGAGTGGTGAGCATTTGCTTTGAAGTTTAATTTGGTAATGCCATTTAAGCGATTGTTGTAATGGTTCATGCTGTATGTGATTGTAATGGTGATACATGTATATGCGGTTGTAAATGTGGCAAATGATGTGTGTGGTTGTCGTATTATTACCACACATATGTAATTATCCTTTCTCGCTTATCTGTAACACAAATGCACATGAACATCCGATTACAATAAAAGGACATTATTATGATATCGTACACACATGCGTGTAAACAGACCATTGCCCAAACTGAATGATAGAATACACTAACTTACACAGAATAAAGATTGGTTCGATACAGACACAAGCAATGCCACCCGCAGAACAGACTTGTAAGCATTAAAGTTTACATAAAAGTTAATTAATTAATCCAAACATCATCAGCACACAGTTAACTAATCCTTACTAAACCAAATATCTAAATACAACTTTTTTTAAAAATCACACATTCAATCAACTTAAGTTTAACACAGTACACACATTTTAAGCGAGTAACCAAATTAGACTTATTCAACAAATTTATAATGGAAACATTATAACGTAAACGTTTGTCCAATAAAATTGAATTTTAATAAAATTACCAGTATAAAATATCCGTACCCTATAAGTTTAAGACCACAAGTCTAGTAATAAAATTAAATAAAAAAATACTTTCCGTGGCGAAGTAAAGACATCTTTTAGCAGATGAAGAAACCAAAAATAAAGTTCTATTTACGGAACAATAATCATACACTAATGCATGTAGTTCCATCTGCCTAACTTAAACTGCACCAAAATTATAGTCTTC